GTATGTCCCCCGTGACGGTTACTTAGGAACTCAAGAGTACAAAACATGAATGAAATATTTAGAGATCAATCAGTATATTATATTAAATAGGGATAGAATTGAAGAGTAATGGATAAGTAAGTAAAAATAATTTGTAGAAAATATTTTTGTTTATTCAAATGTCCGGCAGTGCTTATAAAACGTTCAAAAAGCGCAGAATGACAAACGGTTAAATAAAATGTCTTTTAAGTTTTTAGATCTGGACAATTATATTATAATAATAACAATAATATTCAGTGCATAAAATACCTATATTATTTGAATATTTGATTGTTGTATATTCGTATTACTTACTTATCCACAGCCATAATTTGTATAATAGATAAATTATTGATATACATTCACGTGTCATGTGATTAAAATAAATTAGATAATATAATATAGTTATTTCTTATTAGGGTGGAATGAACACATACATATATTTATAAATGTAAAGCACACAATGTAGCTCCAGGTGTATAAAACTAAAAATGTATTATTTTTGGATCTGAACAATTTTTATATTTTAATAGTTTTAAGAACACCAAACAGATAGTGATAGTGATCATATGTACCTATAATAACTGTAGACAACTGGCGAAAAGAATCATTTGATAGAAATAAGTAGGGTAGAGTGTATACTTCTAGAAATAATAAAAAAGTTATGAAATGTTTATGTAGTACTTCAATATACAGCATAATAATAAAACACTCAAATTAGCTGTAGTACCTACTAATAATTTTAAATTGTATTGTTCTGATTTGGAAAATTTTTATTCAGTGCTTTCAGATATATTATTTAACTATTTTAAAACTAATTTGTTATAAGTACAATTTTTTTAAACATAAATGTAAGTGTTACCTATTTATTTAAAAACTAATTGTCCACATCCATTTGATAATAAATAAATTGGTATTTACACATATTTATATTTGATATTGTTTTGGTACTAAATATGTAGGTATTCTACTATGAATCGCAAAATAAAAAATTAACATTTATTTAAGTACAGAATTAATTTAAATAAAAAGTATTTGAAATTAATATTTGAATTCCATTTAAATAAAAACAAAGTGCATTTCTGAAATATCTTTCAGTAAATGATAAATTTGGCCCATTTTGTATCTCCATTGGTCTTGATGAACGTCGATCTATCACTGAGCTTGATACTTATTTCAGTAATAAAAACCCAAAAAGTTACACATTCAATCACATTTGTCATAACTATTTATATATTAGTAGCGAGTACTAAAAAAAAAAATACTCAATTAAGACCTGACTTAATGATCCTGATGTGGGGTGAGGGTGTAAGGTGAACTTCTGGTTTTTGGTTATTATATTTGAATGTAAATACAATAACCTATACAATTTCACGAAGTTATAGTGGGTTATAGTTGAGACTTGTGAATTCGACAACATTTTACATTTAAATTATGAAGTACTTGTAGTTATTATGATATACTGTAGTGCTCTTTTTCTGGAAAAATATTAGCAGTATTGTGCAGTTGAATTATGTTTGACAAAGCTTTTTTTATGCTTTAAGTGATAATTTGCAACAATAATTATTTACTAAACATTTTTGAAATATTTCTAATTAGACTTTAAACGATAGTTTAGAGCTACCAACAAACGAACGTTTTTTCATTACATTATTAAAAGTACTAGAGTAAAAACATAATTATCGACTATTAGTAGATAATGTTAACTAGATAGGTCCGTTGTATTAGTGCAAAATTAAGCATATCAAACATATCATGTAATTTACATTGTTTGTAAACTCGTTTTGTTATGTAAAAAATGTTTATAATAAATGTTTTGATAATCTATAAAAAAAATGTAGTACCTATCAAAAAGAATCCTCATAACTATACTAATAAATACAGAGTGGTTTAGTGACAAGACATATTTTTTGTTTAAAATATTTGCAATTTTTAAGTATAACTGATTAGGTAAATTTTCAAATAAAAAAAGAGAGATTAGCCGAATGCTGATACTCGAAGAAAAAGTTGAAGGAATGGAGAATGTTAAGCAATTTAATGACAAGGGAATAACCATGATGACGATAAGTAGTTTAAGACAAGTCATCAAGCACCAGACAAATGACTCAAGAATCTCTAGAATAAATAGAATTTATTGAAAAAAGTGTTGTCGGTTTCTTACTCAAGCCAAACATGCTATTGTAAACAAAAACATCAAGTATACTCATTATACTACATTGTATAGATTGTATATATCAAACAAAGAATAATAATAAAAAATAAATAAAAATTATGAACCTAATGTCAATTCTATGAACAAACTCATGACCGGAACTATGGCCTAGTCATAAACCACAATAATTATAAGAATTCGCCGAATGGACTCGTTGGACTGTCGATTTGCTGTTGTTTTTCAAATTCACTGAAGGTTTAACCTTAAAATAAATATATATGTGTAATTTTCGGTCATCGTGATTCCAATGTATTCTAATGAGCTAGGTATAACCCGGTTGATAGATAGTAAACTTAACCTATTGTCATATTCAATTCTAGTGTGATGTCTTCATAGACGGTCTAAGTATTTGACACAGGACTGGCGGACAGTCTGTTAAAACTATAGAGAATATATTTACAAGCTAAAAACAAATCTATGTAAATCGGTTCTCGAGCTATAAGCGCACTAACACGGACAGACTGACAGAGAGAGAGAGAGAGGTTGCAAATTATTATTTTTTGTAAGAATGCAAGCTGTAGATAATATCCTTAAAATTTAATATTATTCAAAATACTTATGCTGCAGTTTTCCTTAACGTGCACCTAATAATATATAATGAAATTGATTTTTTATGACGTTGATAGTCAAATTCTAATTACAATACTGCATCCCAAGGCAAACCGTCAATTGCAAATATTTATGTTATATTTTATTTTCAGCACTATAATTATTACTGCCCCTATTAATATTTTCTTGTATAATGTTTTCAAATTACCTCGACTGTCTTGTCTTATATTTCAAGTTCAGTCCTTATTTGATCCATCTCAATTAATCTGCCTTCTCGATAGTTTAACCATAGACCTAAATTACAAAAAAACCTTTAAATAGTAATAAACATTTTTATTTTTTATAAGTTTCTATAAATATTATATAAAAAACGATTTTATATAGTTATCTGTTATACCAATACCACAGTGAGGATTCTATAGCTTTTGATCTGAAAGCAGATGCAAATAAATGCAACTGAAACAAGTGATAGAGCTTAAAATAATATTATGTATATCAATTGAATGATTTTCTTAAAAACGACATGACGAATGTAAAATAGCTAGGAGACTAGGAGGCGGTAAGACAAGTGCTATATTTTTTTTTTAAATCAAACAAATTTCCTATGACGTGTAACACCTTAAAAAAAAAATAGGGAACTCTTGTTCTCTTATTAAATTATGTGAAAAACAAATTTGTTTGTTTTGTACAACGAAACATAATATTATAAACATTTGTTGATCACTAGATCCTATTGTCGAGGTCAAGTAAGAGTAAGATTTCAGTGCAGAAAAAAAACCTGATATTACTCTCAAGACTAAATATGTCTATATCGTATTTAAATACGATTATCATATTACAACTACCAACGTCAGTTACCTACCTATCCATTATAATAATAACAGTAAGTATAATGTACTAATTATATTGCCATTTCAAATAACACGGGTGTAAAACAAATGCGTGCAGAGTAGAAAAGTTCGCCACGGGGCAGAGCTGTACTTTTTATCGTTTTTTTCAAAATTAGTACTACCAATAATTATTAGCTTATCATCTTTGCACACGGCCCTCGGCTAAAGGAAAACTTTTTGCAACCGTGTCAACACTTTACAAACACAACAAGCACCCGTTGCACTGGCCGGTAGTAATAATATTTTATAGGTTATACATACCTACCTACCCACATTCACTGCTAACATGTTTTGTCTTTAACTACCGCCGTTTATAATCTCTGATAGAAAAAAAAAATAATAATAATAATAATTTCCTGTTAAAAATAATTCTGTACTCTTAGCTTTGATGAGGAGCTGAGGTTATGTTTTACAATGATGTGTTTTCATTTTTGTAATATTACACCCAAGAAATCAGCAAGTCTATAGATCCGAGTCTATGTAGTCTATGTACCCGAAAGGTACATTAAAAGGTCAAACATTTATCGATAAACCAAAAATATACTACAAACCCATTACCCATTGCCCTAGAACATATTTTTTTTATTTCTATTTTTCGATTCAAGATTTTACTACCTCTGGCAAAATTGGAACATCTTAGAATACTTTATATTAACACATAGCTATCTTAAATTCTATCAGTCTCATATCCATCATGACAACATTGTTTTAAACAGATCTTTACCAAAATTGTATAGTTTTTAGCCAATTTCTAGGCCTACCTTCGGATGTTAACGCCTAAAAAAATGTCCACCCCTTCTAGGGGAAAGGGTTTATGATAATTATTGTTTGGTTTGTCAACCTTACCTTGAACAAATACCACTTCTTCAACCTTTAAGTTGAACGAAAAATACATAAATTTTGTGGGTGTTTTTCTCGATTTCGAAGGGGAAGGGGTATACATTTTTTTTACTTCTGATCCATATCATAGTACCAATCGCATAGGTATGATAATATATCTATAGAGTTACTTCAGACACAAAAAAACCCCCCACAAAGTTATTAAACTAATACTAAGCTAAAAAATCAATACCGTTCTTCGTGAAATTATTGTGTTCGGCGTTACATTTATGTCTTAACATAATTTTGCGTTTCTTGAATGGACCGCCACTGTAGCGCTTTTTTTCTTAAGCTGGCCGCCACGCCCCACAGGAGGGTCGAACTGAGAACTTTTTGCTTGGGCAAAAAGTATTGATCGTTTTTTGGATTGTGGAGTTTAACTAATTGTAAGCACATTTTAATTTATAGTAACGTCACAAATACTTACCTACTATTATTCGAAACTTACATAATATTTTCACTGCAAGCGCAACGACAAACGTTAAACTCTGCCAATTTCGAACCGTTTCCCAGTGATAAGTGATAAGGTACAATGTCCATTATATTATTATATTTATTAATATACCTAATAATATGATAGGTAGTAACAATTATACGTTTTCATTAAAAAATTGAAATTACATTCAATTTTCATAGGTGGTTTTTTTTTTTGTAGGTTGTGATAATAAATTTGAATTTATAAATATTATAATTATTCGACAATGGCAAGTCCGAATAATAGTGAAAAACTATTCTGTAGCGGTAAATCAGGTCAACCGTGCGGTTTGGAATTAAAAGCCAGAAATGTGACTGACAAAATCGATGCATACCCAAACGATATGGCCGAATTGTCAGATTTGAAGAAAAAATTGGCCATATTAAAAAAACAAGTTGACAGTCTTGGTTACGGTGGAGTAAGTATACAACACTTATGAAGAAACGTTAGGTACCTACCGATCAACCATAATCGGGTAGGTACTATATTGTATTAGGTATGTTGTACCTGTATTTTTATTTTATATTTTATTAACAGGGTTCAGCTGAACAGTTAAAACAAAAATGGAATGAAATTTCATCAAAGAGTGAATTGCTCAAACGTGCAAAACAAAACAACCGACAAACTGCAGACAGACCGACTCAATCAGTGTTTAACGGAAATCAAGGCGATCACTGTGCTTGTGATTCTACAAACAATGAAACTTCTGAAAATAAAACTGCAGAAACTTCTTTCATTATCTAACTTAATGTGGGTAAATATTTCCTGATCACATAAATGACAATCACAGGGATGGTACCAAAAAAATACTACTTTTACAAAAAAAAAAAAAAACGCTATTTTAGACATGTAAAAATATTAATTTTAAACATAATTTCTAACTAAACTAAAGATATTAGCTGTTAAAGTTAGTGAAAAGTCAAAACTCAATGAGAAAATTGTTTAACTTCCAATATCGTTAACCCGTGTAAAATTGTGAAATCTGCGTCCGACTTGGAACATTTCTTTTGTTCTTTTATCTACTTGATTAGTCAGTGAAAAATTATTCCATTACCTACTAATTAAATTTACAGAGAAAGTAATATAATAATAAAAAACAATTTTGAAAGGGTTGATCAATTTATTAAATAAAATACTTAATGTTCAATTTTACCTATGTTGAATTTTTTAGCATTTCCCAGACTTATTATCTTTTAGTATTAAGTTTAAACACTTTTTTTATATAGGTATAATATTTCTAATGAGTTATATGTTTGTAACATTTTTCAAGATTTTAAAATAGTATAATCAACTAGGTATCAATTTTTTTTGTTAAAATACCATCTCTAATGTATGACTACTATATAATATTACTCAAAATATCTATGTACAATTTTTAAGTATTTTTGAATCTACCTATGATTGAATAAAGAGAATCTAATACTATATTTACATTAAGTTAAATGCAATTCAGTGTTAACAAATAAAGTCTTAAGATTAACTTACTTATTAGTTAAATTAGTTGTTAATTTTTGTTTGTAAAGAAAAATTTAAATAAAAATCTCATTCCAATCATAACAACTAAACTGTAAAATTATGGCAGAGCTCGTTAACAGTTCTTAAGGTTTTATACAAGTCAAGTTTAATTTATTTCTGATGTACAAAAAAACCTGTATTATAATATGTAAAATATTTTTGGGATTTAAACTGTCATATTTTGTTTAATCTTTTATTATCATTTACAATACTGAAATAAGAGTGAAAATTATCATGTATTTCACATTGTAATAATGCTTAAACAAAATAAAAAAATGAATAAAAATGGGTTTTAAGTACTGCATACAAACACTTAGTCTATTGTTATTACTTAATTATTTTAAGACGTTTTCATTTTATTATGCTGCATCAGATTAAGTTTATATAACTTATTAGTGTAACAATAGTTATTTAGTTTTACATTAAGTCTATATTTTTCAGTCAAGATAAAGAGCGGTGAATAATACCCGTTTAAGAACTCCTTTAATCTGTATAAATTAACTTAGTTTTGTCAAAGTTTATTGGTTCGACTATCACAATGATTTTCCTTAAAAAATAAAATATACATTGATTGACAGAAGAAAAAAAAAACGATGAAACTTATAAAGTTGTATTTAATATAATTATTGTCTACGTTAATAAACCTTAACATCTAGTATTTTTTTTGGTACAGTTTCAAAATATACATTCTTTTTTTTACAAATTAAATTATGTATAAAATACATTAAAATATATAAAATCAATAAATGGAATTAACGTGATCAGTCCAAAATAAATGAAAAAAAAAAATGGTAACAAAAATAAATCTATATACACTATAAAAAAATATAAAATATAAATAGGTTAAGGGCGTACAAATTAAAGAATATAGATATTATAATCGTAAAGTTTCATAGTAATAAATTGTTATAAACTAAGCCCAACAGTTCCAATAACAAGGTTTAGTAAACGAGTCCATATTCACAATTGCCACGACGGCAGCATACGTCGATGCTATTCCACCAAGAATACCGACGATGATTATCTCCCACATATACATCTTGGAATGCCAAGCGATTTGCCTGTTAAATAAAAACAACAAAGATGTGAGTTCACAAAAACTCAAATGGTACAAAATGTATTAGCAAAATTCACCTTTCGGGCCAGAGCGGATTGGTTTGGCTGCAGAGTTTCATGTGTAGCAGCGATGGTAGCACAAATGTAGACATTGTTACAGTTGATCCACCAATAAGTGCTACTAGTTTTCCGAAATTCGGTATCGATTCACCGAGAAGAACCATCAGTGACAACAAAAGGAACCGAGTGATTAATCTTTTAAAACAAAAATCTAAAACAAAACAATGTATATTTTCATTTGTTACACATATTTTAAAAACGACCACATTACTTACTATTTGGTACATTGCAAAATAATTCTAACTGTTGTGAAACGGGATTGATAATAATTATAAAGCCTAGAATCAGATGCGTTGCCATAAGAGTGTTTGCAATTGTCGTTAACCAAGTCGGGCTCAGCGACAGAGCAATGTTCTGATTGATTTTATCTCCGTAGACAAGGTATCCTCCAAGTACGATTGGCACATACAGAGCCATGATTACTGAAAATTAAAAACCAATCCCATTGTTTGTCATTAAACGTAGATAATAAAAAAAGCTAGTTGTGAATTATGATAAACTGATATGTAAAAAAGAAAATCCCTTGAGAGGACGCCACTCAACCCGTTTCTACACTTTACTGATTACCATTTTTTTTTTGTCAGGCTATCACAGTCATTTCTATAGGATAAATTACAATTTGTTTCCCATCAAAACTGCTTTGTGTGGGACAAGTATGTGAGTAACATTAAATTTACCAAATGTTCACAATGTATAGAGAAGAACTTCATTTATAGGGTATCGTTTTTAGTATTTTGATATCTATACTTAATATTTTTTTACAAACAAATGAAAAAAGTAAAAAAACAGAATCTTTACGAACAAATAAATTTCATTGTGCTTATCAAAAAACTAAAAGTGCTAAAAAAAAGTTCTTCTCTCTTCATTGTAAACATTTTATATGATTACCACCCTCACAGTCTTGTCCTCCGCAAAACCATTTTTACTTGATAAATTACAGGTGAGTAGCATCCTCTTAAACGTTAGATAATAGTTTAATCCAAGAAAGTTTATGAAACACTTTTACAATAAGATTAGACGGACAGTCGATTAAATATAAGCAATAATGTGACGGTTCAATGGGAAAAGAGCATAAACAATACTTTTATAATTTTATTAGAATAGAGGCAATCAATAATAAATTGTTAACTTCCAAAAATTACAAATTCATTAACATACAATGTTGCCTATGCTCGTTTTCCTTTTACCCATCAACGTACTTAAATACCTGCCATACACAAATATACTTAAAATAATAAAAAAAAAAACTTTAAAAAGTACACATATTTTTTTACTAATCGAATAACTACTATAAATATAGCAATTGACAATTTATAATAAATATAGTTTTATTTCTTTACCTCAAGTCTCCAAAAATAATTGAATGCATGTTTTAATATTAAAATAATGTACTTTAGAATTTTAGCTTTACTATTGTGAGAGTTTAACTAAAAGGTACTAAGTCAGATTTTTAACTAACACACAAATAGTGTATTATTGTAAAACATTTAGCCATAAATCGAATAGAATTAATGCTTAAAAATGAGATTATAGACCACAAAAAAATATCCCTTAAATGTTTTTTTTTTTTTTAATGTAATTGTAAAGTTTTAGAAAATGTCCAATAGTACCTTTTAGATTGTATACCCATGTTATAAAAAAATTTAATTACACATTAAACGGTTTACGAAAATAGACTTACTGATAAATGCAATAAGTACACTTTTTGGAAATTTTTCTCGTTGAAACATATCATTTTGAATAGTTGGAAACGCTGATGCTCCTCCATACGAAAATAATATTGTTCCAAAAGACAAGAAAAACTGATCGAGTGTATGGCTGTTATGTTCTACCGGTTCTGCGTTACTGGTTCCGTCTAGGAAAATTTGTATACAAATAAGCACACAGGCAATACTCGTGGTTAGTAATGCTCCAATACCGACTAGGCTATAATGAACAAAATACAAATTTCAAAAACATTTAGTTACTCATTGGTGTTAAAATTAAAAAATCTATAAAATAAGGAAAATTCTTGTTTTTATCACAAAGGTACATATTAAACCAACCTAAAATCTTTGGGCGACTCTAAGAACATCAGTGGGCTAATTGCAATTGAAAACAGCAAAAGCCAAGAACAAAATCCAAGATTTGGAAAGACATTTTCCAATAGTTTCTGAACTATCTGGGCAACAAGCATTAAGTACACAGTTCCTGCTCCAAATAGAGTCAGCTGTATACATGTTGATGTCAGGTAACTAAATAACAAATTACAAACAGTAACATTTTAAAACAAATTCTAATTTAACTAAAACATTAATCTTAAGTATTAAGATTTTATCACTTATTTTGTAACAAATTATTATGTGTTCCTGTCCATATTAGCGTAGGTATACGGCTAAACAGTGATGTGTAATAAAGCAGTTTTCTCCAATTACCTAGTTTTTTTGCCAAAGGCATAAAAAGCAATAGTAGGATAAGGATTTTTACAGCTTGCTTGACATTCTGGATAACGTTCTTCCAAAATTGCCCAACAGTCACCTAATCTCGATCCACTGTAAGCTGCGGTAACTGCAAAAGCAAATAGTAACAAAAACCCAATCCAACCTAAAACAAAAAAAAAATATGTGTAAGTTAATTGTTTTATATCATAGCTGTATAAAAGTGAATCTAGGTAAAATGTAAAATCTAGTTTACCAAATAATATTTATATAGATATGAAAAAACATTTGGACAACCTGAATTTACAACCGCCCATGGAACGGCAAGGACACCTGTGCCTGCCATTTCTCCAGCAACAAATACAGCTGCCATCCATACTTTGAGACCTGGACCAGTAGTATGTTGATTTTCTGACAGAACCTAAGAAAAAAACATTTGTCAATTAAACTATATTGTCGTATAGTACATAGAAGCAGTAAAACTACTATTATAAGGTTAGGGTGTTGCAGCTGTTGCCTAAACAACACCTATAATAATTAATCTAGGTTTAGTAAGTGGTATCAAAATAAAAGTGTTTACTTTAGCAACATCAAACTTTAAGTTGAGACACTTAATTTAAGAGCGATATTTACAATAAATTAAAATTACATGACATACATTTTTAAAGATTGTATTAGAGGCTGGTGTTGAGCAAGAGCGCATTCCAGAACGAGTGAATCCTTGAAATAAGTTCTTTTTGAGCTTCTAAGAACAGAACATAGATCGGCTTCCATTTGAAATCAAGAAACAAGGAATGAAAATAGTCGGATATTTATTGAAATTTTCCTGAATTTGTCTAACGGCTAGTAGGTATAAAGTCATAGTTTCAACTCTGTGTAGGAACCCGAAATTGTTGGTCATTGATCAATGCTAATATTTAGAGTACAACCCTTAATATTACATTCTCATTTTTTTTAATAATAAAACCAATAATTTCCCAATATACACATGTACCTTGAATAAACACTGTTCGAACGTAAGTAGTGGTAGTCGAGCAATGTTTTTTTAAATTTAATCATAGGTACTTACTTCATCTCCCGGTTGAGTGTTGACGATCGCCTTTTCCCCTACCAAAGAACGATAGTTGGAGTTCGGATTACTGCCGACCAACGGATCCTTCTCCATGATTGCGGTAAAATGGAGATAGGTATGCAGTATTTATGCGTCTTGGCGACTTTAAACCGTTTTATAGCTATTCATCAAAATTTCCTGTAATGCAAAACGAAATAAAAAATAATAAAACAACAGGGAGAACTGTGAAGTGTAAAAAATCGTGCGTACAATAATTAGATATTGTGCATACACTATGTAAATAATATACTTAATAATGTGTTATTATTGTTGTTGCATTTGGTCAATAGTATGTATTAACGTGTGTGTACTTTTTGTTTACCCGCGTCTTCTGTTGAGTAAAATCAAATCAAACACAAACCGATACGTTATCAGCGTGCAACTGTGCGTTAGTATTGTTTTAATGCGTTATCAGCGCTAAAACTACAGAAATTCATAAAATAGATATATTGTACTACAAAATCCACAAGTTGATACACGACGAAAGTGACATTAACAGCAACAGCTGCCGTCAGACAAACGAATAAGTATTTTATTATAGTAAATAATAATTGTCAATGTCAACGTTGTATGACGTGCGAATATCTATGATAATGATATTGTAAATTCGACTATTCGAGGCCAACCGGAGAAACAACACTACAACAGGAACAAAAATAGTGGAATATCGTTTTAAAATATAATATTTACCGAAAAAAACCAATAGTTGTTGATGTAGTAAAAAAATACAATTAATCAAGGATAATCATTATATAATATATGGAGTGAGAGTAGACGGACGCTGTCGACTTACTGGTTGTTTTATTGTCCTGTAATAGTTTCTATCTTGTTGGCGGATTGAATTGAGTTTGCAGTTAAAGTACATACAAAATTAAATGATAAATGTAATATTGTATTTTTCTAAAAACTGGTAAAATTCGAGACAAATGTGGCGACAATATTTTTCGAACCGCACACAATATGTGATTTGTGTTGTTACTTGAGATACCTATCTATTTATTATATTGTTACACAGTCTTGTTAACTAGCAGCTCTACCTTTTGGCAAATAAAAAGAAGGAAAAAACGATTTTTTTTTCATTTGTAATGCACAAACCGGTCGGTTAAACCTTATCTAGTCAATATTCAATAAAAAATAATTGGTAATCATAAATTGTGATCTTTTTTCTGGGACTTGAATCAAGACAATGTTATCACATTTTTACCATTTTTTTTTCACTCTTAAAAGAAAAGTGTTGTACATTTTTATAACTTTGAACCAATTTGGATGGATAGCTGAAACCCCTGCCCCTAAAAATGCGAATAAATCTTTGCCACAAAAAGTGATCCCTAAGAATATGTACCTAATATAACTTTTTTTTTATAGTGTATACTAAAAATTGCTTACCTTTATGACCATATCCTTAAGAGAATAATTATGACAACACAACGCTGGACGGTAACTGACAATATTTTAATTGTTATTTACACTTGTAGTTGGTAAGTTATCAATAGCGTTAAAAATTTTTTATTTATAACTTTCGTTTACCTAACTAAGAAGTGGCCACTGTTAGGATTAAGTGCAAAATGAGTAACTAATAAGTAGGTTAGGTTACTAATATAGGTAGTATATGTTGTTTTACATATTATTGTTTATATTTATTTGCACTACTATAATTTTAGTAGACAACAATAGATGTACGGTTTTGAAGTAGATCTAATCTAATATAATCTAATGTAATATAAATACCTCAAGGTACAACTTCTACAATGTACTGATCAGTATTGTGCTTACAGTGCCCGGACAAACAATTATTTTTTATTTTGACAATTGTTAATATAAATATGTACTTAAGAGTATAGTTCAAATACATTCATTTATACTAAGCAAACAAAATAATGTTTGTTTTTTATTGTCATTTGAGATGATGAAATAAAACTAATCGAAAAATCATCTTGTTTATTTGTTCGTTTATAAGTTTGATCAATTATCAATGGCTTAAATTAAGTCAACTATGCTGTCACGATAATATAAGTACAACCATAGTCATGTTTTCTACGATTTTAACAATGTATTTTGGAAAATAATAACTATGTCCATTCGGATAATATTTTAAAACAAAACTAAAATAGATCTAGGGAAGTACGAGTTTTTTATCTATCATGGACATCATTAGTATGGTCATAGATTATTAATATCCAGGGCTTTGTACATGTACATTGGAAACCCTTAAAAACCTGATTAAATGGTCGAAATCTAAATCCTATACAACCCAAATTAATTCCAGTTTTAAACCAAAAGTTAAAATTGTTTTTAAATTTTCAAAAACCATTTTCGTTGACTTAATATTAGAGTAACTGTTTTTTTTTTTAATCAAAAAGTTATAGTTGATTAAAAACAGCGGTAATTTATACACAGGTAAGCTACAAATTACAATAACTGCATTAATTGTTACAGTTATTCGTTAATCGTTACATTCCTTTGTTATTATAACTTAAAAAACCTTACACTAATTGCATCCCTTTGATGAGTACCATATCATGTATTTAAATAAATAGTAAACACCTATTTAAATATTTATAAATAACAATTTCATGAAAAATAATTATAAGAATAAACGGTATTATAAATGTAGAAAAATTAGCCACTCTAATTGAATTTTAAATATACTTAAGTATATAATACATATACAGAATTAAAAAATTTAACTGATTTGTGCATACTTGGGACCATAACACTGTGATATTTGTTTTAATATAGTTGTTCATAGCAATGTTAAATCGTGTTGAATACCTTACCGATTTTCAATAATTCTTTCTACTTATATCTCATCAATCAGTTATTTTTTAAATACTGTGTAATATTATCTATAAATTATGTATAATAATTATTCTCTAACCAATTTGTGTATTGATTAGTAGTAAGTATCATCTTCATGTACTGTACATAGTACATATTTTAATTTACTTAATTATTTTCCCAAGGCCAGTAGGTACCGTCGTTAGAGTAGGCAGTTCAATGTTAATTTAGAGCTAATTAAAATTAATAGTAAATCAATTTAACAATTATTTATAGAACAGCCATTTAATTTATCATACTTACTAGTTACTTTAACAATTATTGTTATAACTAAAAAACCATGAAGAGTACATACTTTTTTTTTTAACAAACAGTGTAATGGATGAAATTCTATTAAATTACCTACCTAAAATGACTTTTGTTATTTAAAAAAAATGTTTATATAGTTTAAATTTAATAAAGAGGTAGTGAGTGTTTAAAAATAAAATTTATATTGTGTTTAATAATTAAACTCTAATTAAATAACTTTTGTGATAGAAATAATAAATGGTCAATTAAGAATTATCTTATTTACATAATATGATATATTACTATTTTTGTATCACTAAAAATAAAATATGCTCACTACAAAAGGCAATCCTAATCATAGTGTTTCCGGCTAGTACGTTTTGTTTTTTTATATTTATCTAGTCATCCAGTTTGATTAACAAGCGTAAAATGCACTGTCTCTGAAGACTATCTCACTAACCTGCTACTGTATAAATATTAAACAAAATAGCGAAGGGGTAATTCCTAACATTAAACCAAAAACTGTTTCTGAAGTTTAGACATTACTCTCATATAAAGTTAATTAATGGTTTTTTTAATTATATGGATCTTAAAAATATCTTAGGACCAAGGTTAATTATACATTTATATAAATATCAAATTATTTAGATAGCTCTTCAATGAATCTAATATAAAGCTTATAGTATGATTCAACTTGTTTTGCTGGTACCTATTAACTAAAAATTGTCTTCCTATATATACTAATTGTATATATTTTCTAAATGTAGTATATTAGATTTATACGAAATAATGTTTTAAAATATAATTACTTAAAAAAAGCACTTAGAAACTGTTTAAATAATATTTTAAAAAATTATTGGAATAAATGGATAATTGTGAAATAATTATTTAAATAAAGTTTTTTTTCGAATAAACTGTGAAATAACTATTTGAATAACGTTTGAGTTATCTGTATGATTATTTAGATAACGTTTTATTCGAATGATGTACAACTCTGTCTAAACACGAATTATTTTAACAAAAAAATACTTCTGATTAATTTTCAACGGAAAGGGAAATAAGTATAATTTCAATTTGAGGCTATTGTCGTAGCTAGATTTCAACTAGATGCACATTATATAGCACATTTATCTGATGACATTGTCATTGTTTCATGATATTATGATTTTTAATGCTTATGAACGGTAATACATTTTTTTGTGGGTTATGATTTAAATGTGTGTAGATAAAAATATACTGATTTGACGAGCCATCATAATGTTTTAATAATGACCAACTGTCTATCCAACCAACAAATGATGGCGTTCTATGCAAATTACATTCAGTCCTCCAGTGCTGAATCAAACACTTGGACCGTCTCTGAAGACAACACCAGAAATGAATATCACGGTAGGTTAGATTTATTATTATTCAAACGGGCAAATTTTAGGTGCGTATTTTCTATCGCTTAGTCAATACATTTATCAATACATTGGTCAAAACCAACTTGATCAATTTAATGTTAATGAACTTAGTTTTAAATCTTAGCCTTAAGACCTTAACTGGACCGACATTATATCAAACTTACCTATTGTTTTTTAAAAACTTTTAAAAATTATATTAACAGTTTTGGCGTAGACAAAAGAACGGGGTAGCATTTCTTGTGAGTTGTGAGTGTTTAAAAATACTGTTGAGCAAACTGGGTTCTGTGTGAGGTCTTACTTAGATATGATTATTAACTACTGAAAAACTACTAGTACACTTTGCCTATAATAAAACGATAATACAATAAAAGTTCATAAAAAAAGTAAAAACTTTTAATAATAATAAGAAGACAAACATCTGAAATTTGGGTCGGAATCATCCACTTATATTAAACTAATCGCTCCAATATAGATTAATTTTTACTAGTTATATGTAAAATATATTAAACTAAAATATTATTTTGGTTGAACAAAAAAAAAACCATAAAATTAAGGTTTTTTATTGAAAATAGGTATAACACATTTGAATTTACAATATACTGTTATTTTGTTTTTTATTTGTTTTAATACTGTGTTCATAATACGTGAATTTTTGCTTAGAATAATGTAGTCTATTCGAATATCCTCAATTTTTTTTCAATAAAAAAACACCATTCGATCATAGGTCATCCTGCTCAGTGCTACTAAATTCCTTTATTAATTTTCTAAATAAACTAAAGCTTATGATTTACTTGAGCTACAGTTAACTGATAAGGATACAAAAAAATACAATATTTGGCTCCAAAGTCCGAATTTTTTATTTAGATATTTTATTTTTAATTTGTATTGTGAATAATTTGTATATTGTATATTATTTTGCAATTTTTTTTAGTGTTTGTTAACCACAGTATTATTATTATTGATGTAGATAACGAAAACACAACGTGCAGAATTTGATACTGAACTGCATGTCCGCAAAATATTACAATTGTTTTAATTTATATTGTTTATATACACTATTGTATAATAATAATATAGTTGTATAATTACAGGAAATATTTCTACAATAATAGTAATAATTGTAATTTGATGTTTCGTTATAATTTTCATATTATCTTGTTCGCCAATCTGTGGATTCATAATAAGCATTCATTATAAATATCATAATAGTAATTTTATTTTTAATACCTACAACTCAATTCGCAAATTTACTTGTATTATAATTAATTTCAAAATTGTATTGGGCCGTAAATGAAAATATTTATTTATAAAATAGGGCATACGACCAATAACTAATACACGAGCCACTTCCATGCTACGACCGATGACACCGATTGGATGTTGGTATGTCAAAATGGAGTTCTTTACTCACAATGGAAATTTAGTGGGATGTCACTAAATCATGTAATTAAAATTTAAAACAAATCGTTTTCGTGCCATGGAGTTGTGGATTCCTGTTAAGTATAGAGTCTATAATACATGTCTATATTGAAAACTAGTAAAATTGCCAAATTATAAGTCTTTTAAAACAAGAATTAGAAGATTTGTGTATGAATTTTTATTTATCTATTATCTTGCTTGTGTCTTAAATAAATTAGATTTTTCTCTTTTTTTTTACACTATGCCTATCCATACTATAATGGTCGTTAGTCGACACCCAGAATGTTTATATTGTGTAGACTCGCCTCCAGTCAGCCTCTGGTGTTTAGGTTATCTTCCCACACCGTATAATTTGTCTATTTTTAATAACAGTTAATACACACACACACACACATAGTCCGATTACTTACTATGTACAGTCGTTTTGCTGGTTTTTAGCCGTATTGTATCTGTTATATTACATGCAAAGGTACACCTATAAAGTATCTAACTAATAAGTTTCCATAACAGCTATCGTCGACATTGTATTAGTATGGTGACTGTGGTTCTTTTTGTGCCATTTTCGGTGTGTGTTTTAAGCGTCACTGCGGCCATTGTGATCGACGGCAAGAAAAACGGATCTTCGGGGGACATGCCAGAGGAAAACTTGACCGGATTACTGTATTCTTCAAACGATGCCGCCGTCGACACTCAATACACCTCTTGTAAGGTCATCACAGACCACATAGTGGCCACGGCCGAGGGGAAATTTTCCAGGTTTTGCCACGGCATCTGCAACGTCAGTAAGTCGACCAAACCAATCTAAACAGATCAAACTCTTATCCTACCCTACCCCAAACCACCCTTAAGAATTCGATTTTCAGTGGCCAAGATAAATAACTCCATAGTTGAATTTTTCACCACTAGAGTGCGCTAAGCAAATTGGCAATTGTACTTGCATACATTGTTTCGAATAAATTTAACTGCCTGTCCTGAAAATTTTCATTTTATGCAGTTAATCAGGGTTGGCATATGGGTTTATACAGTGATCAGACTTGATAGGCCTATTTATAGGCGAGGATAGATGTGGGATAGATCCATCCTTGGCCTTTTTAGAATAGTTAGACAACGGATATACTGAAAAATAATTTTCTACGGGATTTCAGACGAAACTAACGCCAGGCTGGACAAAATTGAATCTTTGTTAACAGTCGAAGCTGTCAACATCAAACAACGTTTATTACACATAGAAAGCGTTTTATCCGGAGCCAATCCACAACACTCTATGCCCGGGTAATATTACAGAAATGATAATTTATTTGGTCTAATCATTTTGTACATATATTCTATTTTCAGTACATTATCCATAAAACTGTGTCTAAAAAATGTTATCACGAAATACAAAAAAAAAAAAAGATTTTCAAGTGTTATATTTTAGCTTTAAGAATCTTTTTTCAAACCGAAATAATGTTGATTAATTTTAAAGTTAGAATTTTTTTAACGAAAACTTGAAATTTCCCATGTTAATCAAATGCAAAAACATAAGTCATGAAGAAGTACTAGAGTTGAGTTAGGATCTCTTTTGTACACAATATGTTCCATTAATAAGTTTATAATTATTTTAATACACAACATTAGTCGGCTATTGGTACTGGAAAGAATATTTGAGATAGTTTAAATATTTGATTTAGAAACGTTTAATTGGGTATACACAAGTATGTCACGTCTGCCCGGTTAATAAATTATTAAATTTGTACAAAACAATTAATCATATATTACTTGTACTAACTACTAAGAGTACGAAAATAACTGTATTTGTTTATATTAAAATGTGAAACAAATAACACTAAATTCTCAATACCGCGCTATAATGGCTATATAAAATAATATACTCATAACATATACCTATTATGTATTATATACATATTACGTTTTAAATTTTAATTACCCGTTTAATTAATATATTAAATTCCTGTTGGTTTTTAAATATTCTCTATGTTTATAACACTTTATACCTAACATAAAATAGTTTTAATTGCCATATTTACAACATTAACATCATACAGGATGATTAACTTAAACGTCATATAGAACCTACAAAGTATCAATAACTTTTAACATTTAACCTCGATGATGGATGATAATGTGACAATTAAAACAGGCCATAGTTTACCTATCAAACATTTTTTTTGCAACAAAATATCATGATCATTTCACGACTTGATATTGTTGAACGTACCTATTACATAGTCCATAATACCTATCAATAGGTCGTTAGACCTTCTTTTAGTGTATACTACAATATGCATAGGTTAGCTTGGGCATCAATTTTTAATTTTTTTCAAATTACATAAAGAAAAACCCATTTTTCAAACTTTGATAAAAGTATTACCGATTAAGTTAAAACTTTGAAAATTACTTAAAAACCGAGTTTTGCTAATGATGTGTATAGCTTACAAATTGTTCCTTTAATAAAAAATAGTGATAAGAGACAGCTGATAATGGCTGCTGATAAGTGACCGTTGATAAGAGATCGCTGGTTTATTATTATTTATTTATATTTATTATTTATTATTTAGAGATTACTGGTTTAGATTAGATTTGGATTAAATTGTTAAGGTTATGTTAGGTTTAGGAATTAGGTAAGGTTAGTTTTAGGTTTAGGTTAGGAGGAAGGAGAAGACAATTGGATGGATTAGAGAGGAGGGGAAATTAGGGTATGGGACGACCGTGGGAAATGTCAGGGAGGGGAGGGGAAAACAAATACATGATTCTAAGTTTTTAGCAGAGAAGTTTATGTGTTAGAATTGATCGCATACGGTTTAAAAAGTCGACAAATAAATAATGATTATAATTTGCGTTTTAAATCAAATCATAAAAAAAAAACGCTTTTTTGGATTACGGCGTGTATGAAAAATAGTGTGTTGTTTATATTTTACCACCGTCACGTCTAAACAAACAGCATATTTTGGTCGGTAAAATCGAGTACAATTTGTTTACCGTTTCGTTTGCTGTTTAAATGTAAACAAAAAGCCTATCTCTTAAAGATCACGGTCTCAGAATGCCAATTAAATGCTTGCTGAGCATACCTACATAATACATATACAGGGTGACTTGAAACATTCAACATTTTTAGTACATTATTGTCAATTTAAAAAGTTAATGAAAACTATCAGGGTTTGAATAGGGGTAGGAACATAATAATTTGTGGAGAACTGAGATCATATTATATAAAATAAAAACACTATGAAATAATAATATTAGTTACTAATATTAAGCCCAGTGACATATTGAGTGGTCCATGATAAAAGTAATCACTCTGTATAGTAACGAATTGGTACACTAATGCGGACGTCAGACTGGCTGACGATAAAGCACGTTCGGTTTAGTATTTTTTCGCTGATTTCGAATGCGGTTATCAACAGTAACATTATCAATTATTACTATTATTATTGGAAAACCTTTTTTCACGGTCAACCCGCCGTTTAACTGACCGTGTTTTGGTTCGTTTGTCGGCCACGATCATTCCTATGTACACACACCAGCTAACCCTTGACCTACACGGTTATCATTGTACCGCGAACCACTCTATATCTCATAGGGTTTAATAAGATATTTATTTTATTTTTTATTTTTTCATAGTGTTTTTATACAATGGCATGTCAATTTTCACAATTTTTTTTCGCTTTTACCCCCCCCCCCCTCCCCTTCAAAACTAATTATTTTTATATCAACTTAAAATATGGTAACGTATATATTTTATTACCTTTTTAAATTGAGAATATTTTACTAAAAATGTTGACAAGTCAATAACCGGTATAGAACAACTGTTTTTGAAGTTCTAAGAGTTTAAAAATTAGGAGTGCCTTTCCTCGTGCCCTAAACTTGAAACTTTAAACTTCAAAAAAGTAGTCGACCAAAACTTGTTTTCGACCGGTCAAAATGTTTTAGTACATTATTATCAATTTAGAAAATATGTAATTCAATGTATGTATTTACCATTTCATTTTTAAAATTGATATAATTTTTATTTTCATTGACCAAAATTAAAAATTAAACTTTTGGACCTTTTAAACAGACCAGCCAATGCGTTGTAAAGAATATTAATTTGCAAAAAAAAAGGCCCACTGACCGCATAAAGAGCATTGTGTTTACTCTGTAGCGATAATTTACAATAGTAACTGCGTTTTAAATTATAATAAACTTGACCTATTGATAAATACCAATCGTGGTCTAAGATAATAAATTGTTATCAAGTACCTATACTTACAACTTAGATGTTAGACAATATAATATAATTTAAGTTATAACAATTATAAGTTTGAGTAAATTACCTGAAATTATATTTCCAGCAAGTCGACGACAACAGACACGGGGACAGCGGGACAACAACGCAGGAGACAGCCCGAAGTCGACGAGTACAACGGGACGGTGTTGGCGTACGGACAACAGCATCGGCAGACGTTCACGTACTATTGGCGGCTGGACCGGTTCTGGCGAACGGTGTTCGTCGACGGCACGGCGCGCAGTCCACAGTTTTACGTTTCGCCGCGCGGCTATCGCGTGCGACTGGTCGTCGAGTCTGATCTGACGGCACGCGCGCTCCGGCTGGCCGCCGCGGTGGTGCCAGGCGATTACGACGCCGGCTTGCGGTGGCCGATGGCCCGCCGATTCCTGTTGGCCGTTCTCGACCAGACCGACTCCGGGCCCGCGGACATCGTGTCCCGTGTTTGGGACGAAACCGACGTCCGGTGCCAGCCGCACGCCGACGCAGACGCCGTATGCGCGTCCATGGAGTTCCGGCACGACGTGCTTACCGGTCGCCGGTACATCGCCGACGATGCACTATTGGTCAAGCTTACCGTTTTCTAGTATTAATGTATTCGCTGATAGTATAGATATACCGTTGGTTAGGTCAATTATCTAACCAGGCCATTAGAAGAAGCTAAGAAATATTCAAGGGGGGGGGGTTGTCAAAATTAAGATGCCAAATTCAAACTTTTAAATAATTCCCGACTAAAATGATTATTTTGGTAAAAAAAGTTTTTATATCACAAACATATTACGAAAATTAATGTGAATTAATAACTTTTGAAGCAAATAAAAAAAAAATTGATAATTTAGTAATAATTTACTGATTTATAAGAGATTTTTATATCTATTTTTATAAAAATTGTGATTAGATTTTTGAATTTATAAAATGTTTTTTTAGAGCAGTTTTAAAAATTTATTTTTCTGGCATTTAACAGATGTACCTATCAATGAAAAAAATGTTCAGGTCCAAGTATACCTAAAAAAAAAAAATTTTACCCCTAATGGAAGACCGGCTTTAAACGCATTATTTTAAAAAGGTTAAAAAGTAATTCATGACAAAATTATAACGCAATGGAATAGTTGGAACTTGCAAAATGTTAAGTTTAATACAAAAACTAGAAGTGTTTCATTTCCAGTTTTTCAAAATTATTTTTTACTATCCCTTGAAACGTATTCAATTTTTTTTCAATGAACTAAAAAAACTTACTTTTTTAGTACGTGGTTTTTACAACAACAAAAATATCAATTGAATATTTTTTAAAATTAATATGAGATATTGTCATAAAATATAATATGTGTATAAATATATTATATGTGATCGACGGATAACACATTCAAAACTATTGCAGTTTGTTATTGACTTTTGTTTTAACTCTATAGATAATAATATTTGATCTGTTTATTTATTATTATATTATTATATAATTCTTGACTAATTACGTGGGTCACGCAATCTCGCTAAAAAGGCCGAACCGATTTTGATGCTGTTTTTTTAGAACCATCCCATGCTAACCGACAAGGTTATAGGAATACTTAGCCTTGACTTCGACCTCTTAGACTTATCTAATTTAATCGAACTTAACTTAGTGTAAATACATAATGTGTTGTTTGGTCACGCAGGCAACTATAAAATTTCTGATAATGTGTAAAGTAATAGTAATAAATATCTTCAGTAAAACATTTTCATAAAATTGTTACCTATTAATGTCATATTTTATCATAAATTATAATTATTGTAATTATAATAATTATTAAATAATAATTTATTATAATTATTGAATAATAATTTTACTGTACTATAGATGGTTAACATATTTTGGCCTTTGGAAATCCAATACAACAACTCTAGAATAAAAAATACTGAGGAAAAAAATGGCAGAGGGTCTTGCTTAGACATTTAGTATATTACAGGCTACAGCTAGTTGCATAAAAAAACACTGAAAACCGCTACCTACATTTGGATGTATACATTGTAGTATTATAATATTCTATAGTTTTAATTATAATATATAATTAAATAAATATGTATGTCGAGACCGCACAATGATATAGATGTATGACATCTAGCTGATGTGTAATAAAAAATTCCCAATAAATCTATAATAAAGAGTAAGAATAAAAATATTATGCTTAATTTTGTTTTTAGCTTCAATGCGTAGCTGAGAAAGTATTGTTTTTACAATGATGTGTTTTTAGTTTTTTTGATAGCAACTTTTGAAACTTACACGGTAACGTATATATTTTATTAACTTTTTAAATTGAGAATAATGTACTAAACATTTTGACTTGTTGATAACCGGTTTCGGATAACTATTTTTGAAGTTATTAAAGTTTCAAGTTTAGGGCGAGGAAAGGTGGAGTGTAGTATTATTTTTATCTGCGCGCATATCCCAACTCACTTCCCCTCCCATCCTAACTTAAAAACTCTTATAACTTTAAAAATAGTTATCCGAAACTGGTTATCAACCAGTCAACATTTTTAGTACATTATTCTCAATTTAAAAAGTTATTAAAGTATATACGTTACCATTTAAGTTTTAAAAGACGCTATTAAGAAACTAAGTGGGAAGGTGAGTAAAAACAAAAAAAAAATTTGAAAAATTGAGATCACTATGTATAAAAACACAATGAAAAAAAAAATTGTATTTCTTATTAAACCCTATGAGATATTGAGATAAGTAGATCATCCTGTATATGGGGCATTCTGAGTCAAACCACGCGCTCATCGGCCTGACCTACTCAAATTTTTTATTAACTTCTTTTGGTCTAATATAAGACTTTATTTTTTAAATTTTTAATCACTAATTTTTGCCCCAAAAATAGCGGTTTTTTAAGTAATTAAAAAAAATCGATTTCGACCCGTTTTAAATTTTTTATCATAAGATCAGAGACTTAGATCAAATCTTTTCGTCTAATAACTGGAGTGGGTCGAGATTTGTTTCTATTTTTTTTTAATAAAGACATTTTTTTTTTCAAACTGAAAATTTCAGTTTTCTTATTTAAAAAACAAAATATGTCATGGTAAATTTTGATTTTTTGCATACTTTGGGAGTAAAAAGTTAAAATGTTCCTTACGAATAACATTATAAATAATACAGGTGCATAGTGTGGACGCAGTGGACACATCAGCTGCCATGCGGCATCTGAGGTTAAGCTGTGTCCGTTGCTGCTTGATCTAGGATGAGTGACCAACCGGGAAAAATTTTCTCTATTAAACCTAACCTAACCTAACCGATCTTTGCAAATACTCGTTCAGTGAAAGTTTTAAGTTCGAAATCCCAAAATAATCCGAAAGCTTATGTAATTCAAAAACCTCATTACCCTAAAAAAATATATAATAAAAAATGTGTTTAATCTTTCTTCATTAACCTTTTTTCAATTAAACACATAATTGAATTTAACAGATCAAACGGACTATCGTAATAACGTACTATCGGCCAAACGATCACAAATTAATCACTATTACAAATTATATTTATGCCGTTTAATAACTGCTATGCTGCGTTGATTATTCGTTACCTCAAGATCACTTAAGTCTATTCGACCAGTATAAATATAATCAAGAATTAATTTAAAAAAAGTTATTGATACATCTTTTATTGGCACATCCTTAACCTTGTTTTCTTTACCACCTCCATAAAATAACATCCTAAAAAAAGGAAACTGTGTTACTACAAACATTAAATTATGGAGCAAAAAAGATAAAAACGATAACTTTCTCAAGGGTTATCAAGATAATTGTACTCTACCATTTTTGGGATGATGAAACCAGAAAAAAACAATAAAAATAATCAAATAATTATAAAACATATTTAAAAAGTATACATAAAAATTATTCAAAAAGTATTTAAAAAAAAGAAATGATTAGCTTCTTTCTTTTTTCTACAATTTTCTTTGACAATGTCATGTCAAATACAGATTTCAGCTGATGTCAGTGTTGTTGAACATACGAATAATTCGTTTTTACAAATTATTTTTTTATATTATGAAAGAACGCTGCAGTTAATTTTTACTTTTTAGAAGTAGTCTTCTACATAATATTAGTATTATATTATATTACATTTAATATATGTTCTTTGTTATATTATCTGTACCAATATAATAATATTAATGAGACTGACCGAACTGGCATAAAGTTAGCTATAGGCCTCCCGGTCAAATACGCCATTCGAATATTTTTTTTTAATGAGACTATTAAAAATAGTTTTTGGAAAAAGCTCGGACAGCTGGTACCTACATTATAATAATGTAGTATACAAAATAAAGGCTTTCTATAAATAGAGAATTTAAAGAAATTACTTGAACTAAATCAAATGCTCTACTGCGAAAAACAACAAATACAGAAAAATAACAAAAAAAACTTCAGTATAAGATCTTTTGTTTTTTTTTTGGTTATTTCTTGTTTTTATTTCTTCATTTTTTATAAACATGTTCTCAGCTGTATACAAACTAACTGTTCCATTAGTCCAGAAGAACTTATTTTAGACATTGTATGCGGCAACGCTTTACTATTACCGCAATTAGTAATGTTTTTATTTTTATCAGTTATCACAAAGTATAATTCGCACCTAAACTATAATTGTATTTTGTTATTTTATATTAGGCAAAATTGGGTTTCAATAACCTTTATAGTATACATTATTCTGCTACGGCTGTAAAACTAGCAAATTCCATAGTTCAAGAACAGAATATTAATTGCATCAAACTACAAGTGTTTGACTTTCTTACCGACAGTGTGAAAACACTGCCGTTGTTTAGATTGGCTTTGGACAAAGACACTTACGATGTGATCGGTACGAACGATGAAAATGAAGAAAAAAGAAACATATACAAGGAAAATACAGTTAATTTATTACAGCCAAACGTTGCTGATAGTCAGCTGCAATTGGACGCAGCAAGAACTTAATGATCAATTTAGCGATGGTAATGACTAATAGGTTAAAACAATACAAAAATATTTTTCATCTAAATATATTTGTTAATTTTTTTACTGTTATTACTCGCAGTTTTCGAAATCATGGCAACAATACCGACACGGACATTGCAATTCGGAGGAGCGACCGGCAACACAATATCGGCAATTCCGTCCAAAAAAAAAAATTATAATAAATCATATGAAAAAAGAAAAACATTACAACGTACAATTTACTATAATAAATTTACTCTAACGTGTGTGGTTGAACTATCCAAAACTAGGTATTTTGCGATTTTTAATAATTGCTGTGAAAAATAACGGCGACCACAAATGCCAAGTATGTCGATATCACGGCTTGCATTGCGTCTGAAAAACGGATATTATCGTTGGTAAACCACGGAGACATGGAAACAGGATGGTCTATGCTTTTTTTTTTGTATAATTATCAATATACTTACTACTACAGGTACCGTCGTCTTCGGTGCAAAACTCTTCCCTGCATTGCCACACTTTAGTATCTCCCACGGTCAGGTTCACCTCGCATTTGGCCAGTTGGATGCATTGAACATCCCGCTCGCAGGGCTGTCCAAGCTCTACCGAATGTTTCGGGTAAAACGAATAAAATAAAAAAACACTCTATCACCTAGCGTTTACCTTGTGGTTGTGTTATGCAATTTTCGTTAATCGGATGTGTCTGGTCAGCACACGAGCATCGTTTCCGGTGGTCTACCGGATCTTCGCCGCACGACGTCTTGGGCCACCGTTTGCAATTGCTGTCGGTGGTACATTCCATCTTTCTTATCAAGTTTGCAAAAGATTATTATTTTTTTTTTAATGACATTTTTGTACCGTATTCGAGAGCATATTAATCCTTTTACGTTTTATGTTTCCCACGACGACTCCCGCTGCTGTATCTGTAGTGTGGCTCGCCGCCCGTCTCTTCTGAGCAGCACACCGCGGAGATCAAGACCATTTTGGTGGAATGAGCTTTACCAACAAAGTTTATCACCGCCACACCACAAGAAGGTCGGTTTTTCCCATTTCCTGCCGTGCAACGCCCACGCCCAGCGGCTATATTTTATTACTATATAATTTTTTCGCCAATTCCATTTTGGCCGACGTGGCTGCACGAAATCCAAACATTCCGGTGAAACCTTGAACCTCGTTTGACCACCACCCACCCCTTGCCTGGTACCCTGGTAATGTCGGAATCGCTTAAGTGTGTCTATATACGTATAGGGTACCGCTCGAGCGAGACAGCACACACGAAACGCGGTTGTATGGCGAATGAGCTAACAAAGAAAATGAAAATTTGGTTATTTCCGAGTGCCTGCCGGCGGACTATATACAATTGCAATATGCGCTACTACGGTGGTTTAACCGTGGGTTAAAATAGACATGTCACGTGTAACACATTGTCCAAGTACATACTCAGGTAGGTATACTGTCTACCCGGTGGAAAAGAAGACTTTCCAAAGAGATTTCATCGACGACACGACCTTATTTCTGACGTCATACACCGTGGGCCAGCAGGTCGCACACGCTATGCTCTTAAACTTTATCGTTTTATCGAATGTGCACTTCCTTCCCCCCCCCCCATTCCTCTCAAATCGTGCAAGGTTATAGATACGGTTTTTGAAAGCCACAAAAGGTAGGCCAAAGAACGAGTAGATTTTTCGCCCTTTATATTTTAGTATTTATACTTTCAACACTCAACGATCTAATCGCAAGCGTAATATAATTAAACAACGCGAACCAAAAAATTCAACAGCGCGCCTGTCATACTTTTGTAAATATGAATACATATTGTAAACAAGGAAATTAAAAGTATAATAAAAGTTTTAGTAACCGCAGCATATTATAAAAAAAAATCCTGCTTGTTGTTATAGGTGCCTATTTACTATCAATGTGTTGATTGGGACTTTAGGCTCGACAAAAACCTTGGCTTTTCAATGAAATTGTAATTTTAAAATTCTAGTCCGGCAAATGTTTCCAAGTCGTTTTTATACCAATGTAGTTGCCAATATTTATATTTTATATTTTTATCCTTATTAGTTATTATTTATTATACAATCGGTTTTAGACTAATCTTGCTGCCTTGTATTGTTCACAGTTTGACGTGTTTGACAGTTTCATCTGTGTACATACAAATCCTTTAATAGTATATCTGATTCGAGAATATTGTCAGCTTAAGGTGTTGTATTACTATAGTATAACTTACGATTTTCTAAGCTATTATGTGCTCACACAAAAAAAAACCAAATTCGAGCGAAATTATATTGTACAAGTTGAAAATGTTATAGAAGCATTATTTAAAAAAAGTAACAGATATGACGTATACATTCATGTATTTGGGGTCGAATTGGCGAATGTACAATCACCCATAGGTGTCACTAAGGGGGTGCTAGGGTGACTTAAGCACCCCAGACTCAAAATTAGAACCCCCCCAAAAAAAAATATTAAACCCCAATCCTTGATTTGTTCACTTAAAATTGTAATAATTTACATACTCTGTTTAATTTTTTTTTATTTTAGATTATTTTATTGTACATCTAATGTTTTAAAGATAAGAATTAATATGTTTAGTCAGGCATACATTAGATCCGATTTTTTTTTTAGTCAAGCGGGTAAAATAATATAATTATGCGTAGTCCCGAATGTATTGAATTTGCATAGGTAGGTAGAGATAGTTGAAACGAAAGATATTAAATAATAAAAAGAAATTCTGTGTACAAATTACATGAAAAGTAACACACAATCATTTTCTGTATATTTCATACGGGATTTATGAAAAGTTTATATTTTGTTTTGTAAAAAAATCAAACGATAAAGCGCAGTTTTAAATAAAACCGTGTTAACACATCTGTGTATACCTACAAATCCTAAAAAATTATATCTGATTCGAGAATACCGTCAACTTTTATATATTACTAGTAAAACCTTAAAAACAAAATTCGAGCGAAATAATATTATAAGTTGAAAATGATTTTAAAAAAATAACTGATATGTATAAATTATGTATTTGACTTCGGATTAGCAAATGTACAATCGCCAAATAATGAGTAAAAAAACCCTAAAAAAATGTTTTGACTAATAATAATAATTAGTAGAGGTAGTTGTTGTTTTTGTTATGTGCTATGGTTTCCAATTATATATTACTCCATAAAAAATTTAATTTGAATTTTTCCATAATTGTTAACCCATTTGGTAATATATTTCAACTTTGTATGAAACAATTCAAGTTGGTCTAGCCGTGTAGTAATAATTTATAATATGTTTCGGATTATAAATTTAAAAGTGAAAAAGTATAGCACTAATGTATGACAATAGAGAAACTCAGTCTTGATATTAGAAGGTGGCATGGAAGTTATTAAATATATGTAATGGTGTTGCAATATACAATTGTTTCTGTAAAATTAAAAAAAAAACCCTTACACACCTCTTCGTTTTTATACAACAATAATATACTCGTGAACTTATTCTTATGCAAACATGCAGTTTAAATAATAATACCACGTCTAAAAATGCAATGATAATCATACTTGATAAAATAATTTACTTGTATAGCCAATTCTATATAAAACAGGCGTTTAAAGACCCTATGAGATATTGAGTGGATCGTGATAAGTGGATCACCCTGTATAAACAATTAATTTTATGTAATAATAATTTATATAGGTACGATTTCTAATTTATATAGAGTTATTACACGAATAAGAAATATAAAACAAATGACAAATGTATAGGTTACTTAAATACTGTATAGTACTATTTTAGCTTCGATGCGGAGCCTGAGAAGGTATTGTTTTTACAATGATGTGTTTTGACTTTTTATTTTTATTTTTTGTGTCTGGACCCACGATATCTCGTAAACTTCTGAACCGATTTCTTCGTGTAGCAACTCTATAGATCAGAAATTATACCGGAAAGGTACTTTAATGGGCCAAATCAGACCGTATCCACCCTGTATAAGACTAAATATTAAATTTCAAGTACATTATTGCTGGTCCCACGATATCTTCTAAACCGCTATAACTGGTTTGAACATACTATCCACAGATTCGCATCGAAGCGTTTATTTAAAAGTGATTTTATCACTTTCAGTTATAATAAAGTCTGTAAGCCTGTGACCTCTCCGTACTCACTATGCCCCGACCCCACTGTACTGGCTTTTTTACCTTCATTTTTAAGTGATGTACATCAAAATATTAACTAAAATACTATGTACATTATAGTTTATATAATGAATCAAAAATAAATATGGTAACTGGTACCTAAGTAGAATAAACTAACATACAGTTTATTAAGTCGATTTAAAGGAAATGCTTCTGTTTTTTTGGTATTTTATATCACCAATCATTAAATGTTTTGTTAAAAAAGGTATAAAATATATCATAAATTAGTAAATTACTTAATTACAATCAATTAAAAATTACTAATTAGCCGTGAAGTGTTTTTTTTTAGAATTCATTCATTTGCATTCCCATTCCAACATGAAATGAATGCATTTATGATTACATTCCACTAGAAAGGAATGCAATCCTATGAATGCATTCTTTCCAAACACTGATTAAAGTTAGCCAGAAATTCGCACAACCCAAACACACTACGGTAACTCAAGCAACACGGGTGTTGATTATTTTGTATAATTGAAGTTTCTTAAATAAATGTACACATTCTTAAAAAAATTCTTATGTTGTGGCGTTTGTTGTTTTGAACTTAACTAAAATGCCTCGCGCTTGGTTGTCGTTTTTCGTTTGGACGATCTTGTGCAGTCAGAGTTACGGTTTGACTTTGAACGTACCTCGAGTTTGGTTACCGATCTTGAACGCATCCAGAGCGGCGTTTAAGTTTGAGACAACGGATGGCACGTGTTCTCGATGGTAATAGCAAACAAAAGAAACGATCATGTCTAATGTACAAAAGGGGGTTAAATTTAACTGAAAATCGACAACAGGTCAATCGTCAAAGGCGCGGAAGCGATCAGCCTAACACCGGTCGAGGCAGACCCTTTGCTGGGGTGTTCGGTGGCCGCCACAGTAACGACCTTGCCCGGCAACAGCAAGCGTACCATTTCGGTCATAAGTGTGACTGACGCCAAGACCACTGAGCAGGTCGTCTACTGCCAAGTGATAGTCAACTCTATAGCTTCGTTGGCAATCGTCACCAGGACCAAAGAGCTCGTTGTGAACAATCCGCCTGAGTTTTACGAACTGGCGGCATTCGACGACCAAGGTAAGACCATTGTCACACTTGAAATTATAAAATATCATCGATTAGACGATTAGAAGGTCGAATACAGTTTTAACGTGTATCTAGTATGTTTGTTGGCTGGGGAAAAAACAAAAATTAGCGTCACACCGAACCGTTACCATGATAACCACATTTTTACTTGCAATCCATTCACCCTGCTTTACGTCTTGCGATCCAATCGTTGCGTTGAGAATTTGTGTTCGTTTCTCCTACTTGGTTATTTTACTGGCTGAGGTTGCCAAAGTACAACTGTCTTACACACTAGAATATTGCGAGAATTAATAACTTTAAATGTTGTAATATTTCAAAGTTATTATTGTTTTCTACCGGGTGATCATTTTATCGTTAACCACTCAATATGTCTTAGGGTTTAATAACAAATTACATTTTTTTGTTCATATAGTTTGTACACAATGTGATGTCAATTTTTCACAATTAGTTTTGGTTTTTAAACCCTTCCAACTTAGTTTTTTTGATGGCAACTTTTGAAACTTAAATGGTAACGCATAAATTTAAATAGTTATCCAAATCTAATCATCGTCTAGTAAATATTTTAAGAACATTACTCTCAATATAAAAAGTTAATAAAATCTATGCGTTACCATTTAAGTATCAAAAGTTGCTATCAAAAAAACTTAGTTTAAAAGGGGGTTAGGAACATAAAAAATTGTGGAAAATTGAAATCAAATTACCTATATAAAAACACAATTAAATTATTAATATAAACCCTGTGACATATTGCGTAGTTGACGATAAGATGAACACTTTTTATATCACAATTTTATTTTGGTTTTTTTAGCATAAAAATATTACATTTTATCAAGTGATTTTTATTATTAAATAAATACAAGCTTTCGATTTTAATAGTTTTGATTAAAACAAGTCCCAATTTTATAACATTTAAACAATTCTTTAGGCTAAATTAATATTTTATAAATAAAATAAACCTATTAAATAGTAATAAATTTAGCAAAATTATAAAGTTTTCATTGAAAAAAATGTACCTAGAAGATAATTTTTGTTTTTCCTAAAAAAACCCAACATTTGTATTGGACCATCGTTGTTATAAGCATCCTAATTGTCTATCAAATAAACTTTCAGTCGTGCTAAAAACTAAAATATTTATGTAAGGAATTTAGTTAATACCTCTACAATAAATCAATGAGCATTATATGAAATACAGTGGATCTAAGTAAATGGTAAGTATTCATATGTAAGCAAGTATTGTCGCTGTTGTTATTTGCAGGCAACACATTCAGTACAATGAATGGTGTCGAGTGTCAGTGGTCGGTTCAAGGCAATTCGCATTCTGGCATTCTGAGATTAGTGACGTTTAAGGACTCGTCTTATCTGGCATCGCCTGAAATTAGTAACTTGGAGCGAACAAATCGTCAGGGCCACGTGGTATTGGTCGAAGGTGTAAAGCCTGGTCGCAGCGAGGTGTGTTTCTGTGCTAACTAACACGCTATTTTCTTAAGTCCAGTTTGCTTTTGTTTACAAATTTACTTTCGTTGGTATTTCAGTTGTGTGCGAGTCTAGTTTCTTCGGACATGAATGCTTGCGTTCAACTCGACATTATCGACCATTTAGTACTGGAGCCCGAGTACGTTGTAATATTACCCGGAGATCAGATACACATAAAAGTGTACAAGGTAATGATGATTCGATGATTAATCAAATCGTGAGTTACAAAAGATAAAATAAAATTGTTTTTTTTTATATAATTTAGCTCGAAAATAGAGGATCGAAAAAAACCGAAATAAACAAAAAATTGTTTTCAATTGAAATTCTGACGTCGGCCGAAAACTCAAACGTATTGAAGTCATTAAATAAACCCGGTGATTTCCTTGGAGTCGACGAAGGCGAGGTGACGTTAAAACTAAAAGACATCAAACATGATAGGATCTACACGTCGGTAAGCAGTACTGTGGTTGTAAGCAGAGCGGACCACTTGTCGATCAACTTGAAACCGGTCAACAATCGTAATCTAGTTGTGGACAACGAATATCAAATGGAAGTCGTCATGTACACAAGGTAATCTGATTTGAAAATTCCGCTCAATGCAAATTTATATAATAATAACTTTACAGCGCCCACCGGTCGATAAACATAGGATCCAATGTCAAAATGGAGTTCCAGATGGATAAAAAATATTTTTTCACATTGAGCGAAGTATCGAATGGGACTTACAACGCTGTCAGGACCAAGCGAAACGGTACTTCCATCATAAAAGCGTATTTGCTACAACCTCTTCTCAATAAAGGCGGATCAAAATATGACAGTATCGAAGTGAATATACATTCCAAAGTGGTAGTAACGCCCAAACACGTTGTCTTCCCGTTGCACAAGTACAAAAATGACAGGTAAACAGATTGATAATTTTCAGATTTTATTTTATTTTCAGTGGATATTTTATAATCATAATTTTCGTGGGTTTTCAATGTTATTTGGCTTAACAAGTTTTTTCCCCAAAAAACTCATCTTAAGTACGCTGAAGCATAAAATGTTTTTAGGCTCCCTTTGAACATTAAACTAGTTATTTTCAATAATCAATACTTTAATTTAATTTAATTTTTGTGTATATTTTTAAGACTGCGATTAGGTTTGAACGCTATTGGCGGCGATAACAACGGATACCTTTGGAGTAGCGACAACGTACAGGTGTGTACAGTTTCGTCTAATGGACATGTCACACCGTTTAAGCCGGGTAAAACAAAAGCAATTGTTGCCACGCGCTCAAATCCTTTGAACCACGATCACGCTGTCGTCCGCGTTATTATACCAGACCAATTGAAAATCGTCGTACAACCTATCGAGCAGGAAATTGGACGCTCTGTGACTGTATATTTACAACTGTCTACCGGAAATGTAGAGGGCGAGATGACAAGGGTGACCATGTGTAACTGGGATCAGTTTAAAATTGCCATCAGCCCTGGAGTAGAATACACGCCACACGAAGGTCCTTTCGGTGTAAATGACTCTTGCGCTGCTATTTCTTTTGTGGTCAGCTCGTTCGGCTTGACAACGGTGACAGTGACGTTTGTAACTAATAACTCAGTACTGCGATCGTCTGCAGTTGTGGGAACATATTCTAAATTGGAACCACTTTACCCGCGATCTGGACTTGTGGTTTTAGGCAGAGGTTGCGAGAGCACTCTGGTGTTTTTCGGGGGTCCACGTACCCTTAGCAACGGTTATCGTATTGAGTTAACTACTGATGCTCTTGTTAATTATTGGCGTCTACCTACAGCCGATCAAATCGATGGGAACTCCGTATATGCTTATCGGGTGAAATGTGGCGATAAATTAGGTAAAGCTAAAGCCACATTGGCTGTTCGAAGAGTCTCCAAGTCAATGAACACCGATGCTGAGACAGCAGCTGTGATCGTGACAAAATCGACAGTGGAAATCGTTTGCTCGTCACCGAAAAGCGTTAAGTTGACGCCTGTGGACATGGCTGACCGCTGTCCTTTGAAAAATTCTGACGAAATTATCATGGAACGAGAACAACAGTTGACCGTACGTATCGACGTAATTGACGAGAAGGGCAGCGTTTTTGACAACGCCACCGGTGTCAATGTTAGTTGGGCAATCAAAAACAATATGATGGTAAAGACTTTGGTAGAGTTGGGTACGAAAATGCGCGTGAACGGAGGATTTACGTTTCCCGACTATCATTACACTGTTTTCGAGGGTTCTGGTGTGGCTGGTCACACCACAGCTACTCTGAGTGTAATCGATCGTGCCAAACCTTATACAAATCAGCAAAACTCAATTCTCAGCAGTTTGTCACTTGCACCCAAGAAAAAATGCTCTAAGCCCACCGTTATTTCCAAAACTGTAATTATTAAGTTAATAGATCCTCTGGTGTTTACTACTGCCAATGTTATTGTAACTTACCGGCCAAAAATGAAATGCAACTTTTACCTAGAAAAAGGCTCGGGCTACTTCGAAGTATGGGCCGAATCGCCTAACGCAGCCTCAGTGGTGCACGGAATACGATATATTGAGGTAATGCCTATGGTGCCAGGAAGTCTGACCATCATATCTCGAGATTTGTGTTTTCCATCAAGAACAGCCGAAGTCCTCTTAACCGTACGAAGCGTTCATAGAATAGAAGTGATATTAGACGAGTTCATAGAAATAGGTCGAGAGATTCAAGCTACCGTGAGTATATACGATGCCGACGATAACATTCTACGCTTAGAATCAGACGAGCTACAAATGATTCGACCTGTGTATAAAGCCGGAATAATAGCCGTTCACAAGAAACAACTCAGTGACGTCAAACCCGCAACGTTTGTAATCAAAGGAGTGGCATTAGGAAACACCAAGCTCTGTTTCGTCATTAATTCGTACGGCGAGACTAATATACGGTCGCCACACGTTCAAATACATGTCCATTCACCTCTGACATTGTCTGTTAAACACTTGACGTTGGCTGTGGGCTCTCAATATTGGTTGACCGCATTGGGAGGTCCACAATCAGGATGTGTTTTCGAGTACACTTCCAACGACCACCGGACGGTCGAAACCACAATTGATGGTGTCCTTAAAGCAAACGCGCTGGGAACGGCCACTGTCACTTGCACCGCGGTGAAACTAGACGAACCGACGGGCGACTTTTGTCGGCGATCGATTATCGCGTCCGATTTCGTCACTATCAAAGTAATCCAATTGAAAAACATAAAAATTGAAGTGCCTACGATCAATATGAAAGTCGGGCAAACTATGCCGGCGTGGATACGAGGCGTACCTGATCCTCTAGGGCCTATGATCATTGGTACCATGACTCCACCGTTGACGTTTCATTGGAGCACATCGATCGCAGGTGTCGTCAACGTCTTTGATATTATGGAGAACTCGGGCATTTTAGTAAGAACCGAAAGAAATTCTAAAAACAATAGCGATGGCTGTTATACAATTAATACATTTTAGGTTCGTGAACAAGACAGAATATCTGTTCGGATTCGAGCCGTGAAAAAAGGGAATACGGTATTAAGTGCTTCGGTATACGAACCATCGTCCAAAACTCATTTTGTCAGCTCTATAAGCCTTGCGGTTTACGATGAACTTAGCTTAGAATCCCTAGAATTTGTTGGCAACGGCCTTATGATAGCGCCTAATACTCATTTTAAACTGAAGACCAGCAACAGTCACAGAGTAATATCAAATCAACCGCGTTTCCATCTCGCAAACTTTTCACGGTATTATTTTGGTTTATGTAGGTGACAAAACAATCGTTTATGATAGTAGGCAATACAATGCTCGACGGTGAAGAAAACGGATTGAATCACTGCCAAAATGTTCCGTCTGTCTTCTCTATCGACCAAAGTTCTGGTTTGATTAGATCATCGAATGTCCTTGGAAGCGCTCACGTTGCGGTGTTGTCGACGGATGATTTTGGCGTCAAGCAAACTATGACAGTGCCAGTTCAAGTAACAAAACAAAAATAATATGGGGATATGCATTAATTTAAATTTTATACATACATGTGTATAATATAAAGGTAAAACTAGTGAACTATATAATGATAGCCCTCGAGGTATCGGATACTCCGAGAACCAAGTACTTAGGTTTGAAAATAACACACCACGATGAAAAAGGAGTGGAGTTCAAGGCAGTAAATTCCGACATGATGTTCACAACTAATTACAGGAATCGGGTAAAATAGCAAAATATTTGTTTACAATTTTTATTCGTATCTCAGTTTTACTCTAGACGTGACCTTTTCCAGGTTAAAGTCACACCGGGAAAACAGAAAAATACTTTAAAAGTATCATTGTTCGAATCAGGAGAGATGATGTTGAAGGTTTGGTACGGAGACAGCGAACATCATTCGAACGAAGATTACCTAAAGTTCAGCGTTACACATTTGATTTATCCAAATCGGGTATGCAGTTAATCACAAGCTAAACAGTAAATTTTAGCATAAACTGTTCGAGCACGGTTTCGTCGGCACACTTGTCCGATGCGAATTGTTGAGTTGTAAAATTTCCTTAGGCTTTCGTGACCATCGGTGATGTAGTTTGCTTCTTAATGCCTGTCAAATTCAACCGAGAACATGACGTAACGGGCGAGTGGAAAACGGACAATCCGAACGCTCTGAAGGTTCAAAAATCGTCTGGTTTTGCTGTGGCTTTAGCTCCATCTGACGTTTCGGTGATGTACTCCAGCGACATGTTCAAGACGTCTACTTCAATTCGGGTTTTACCGATTAAAAGCGTATGCAACTCGCAACGACTGAATTTTAGTATTAAATAACAAACTGTTCAATCTTGATTTTAGATACTTATTCTCAACACGGATAAAATAAAGTTAAAGAATAGCGGTGGTGCTGTCGACGTGCAATTGGTGTTGCTTAATGAACAAGAGTTGGCCCAACAGGCTAATAAGAAAAGGGGAAATATGTGGGAGCACCGCGACGACGATTGTTCGGCTCGAAACGGAAAAATTGAAGATTTTCCATTTAAATGTTACATTTCTTTTGGACCTCTGATACCTAACGATATGAGCTTGCCACCGATCAAACGGGTGTTTGACGTCGCTCCACACTTCGACACAAAAACAGGTTATTTGTCAAGTAGAATGCATACATTCGAAAAGCTTTATTCATTTTTTTATTTTTTACCACGCACGAGATGTTAATAAACGATCGAATTTAATGTCTGGGAATTTTTCCGGTTAGGCTATTACAGTTGTAGAATAACCCCTTCTTCGGTAAACGATCCGAAGACGAGCACGGTTCAAGCGGTGGTACAGTTGCAAGTAACGTCGGATACGGCTTATACAGAAACCAAAGAAATTTCATTTGCTCCCGCCGTGGCCGTGGACAAAAGTGAATTGTACTTTGGCCAGTTCAGCGGATGCGACACCCTCACCGTAACCGGTTTGCCAGACGTGTTAAAGACAGTAAAAGTAACGGGCGTCTTTCAGTCCGTACACGGATCGGGTTTGATGTCTTACTCTGTCTTAGGTCACTTCGAGCAATAGCACGTTGGTCAGCCCAGTGGTGCAAAGCCAATGCGAAACTAACCTAGTCTATTCATTCACAATAAACCCTGTTTTTTGGGACCTCGGAAGACCTGACGTTTGCATAACGGTCACATCTGGTCTTACGTCGCAGCACATTAAAGTTGGACATCAATTGCTGTCACCGTGTCACCATTGACAGATTAACTGGAAATTTGCATTTGCAGATCGCTGTCAAAACGTCTTGTTCCTATCAAGCGTACAATTTTTCAAAAATTACCGACCGAACAGTCACCAACCAACTAGGAGCGTATCGTAGCAGTGTTTTTTTCAACAAATATGCCGTCAGTTTAGCGGTGATCATTTTGACTTGTTGCTACTGTAAGTGCTGCCGGGAATAATGTTCTTTACTGGTATTGCAAAATATTAATCGTTTGTCGATTTTTAAAAACAGTGTTCTTCTACGGGTCGTGTCACCAACGTGCATCGGGATCGCATTTCTCCGTTGGATTCTATAACCGAAACAGCAATATGGGTTTGAACCAAACCTTTCAAAGACGATAGTTTGGATCGTTCCTTGGTCGTAAGCCCTCGTGATAATATTTATAATAGTTTTCGAATGAACCTATAGTCCAGTATTACATAGTTTTCATTCGACTTGAAAAATAAAGTTTAATTTGAAGGTTGAATCATGCGTAAACAAATCTATTTTTAATCACAAAGTTATTAATCTAAATGATTAATCATATTTTACTCTCGCGTCAAATGCGGTAGTAAAGTGTTTTGGCCAGAGTACCACAAGTTAGCACCTTTTCTTTATTATCACTTATTATCTTAGATTATCACTGATAACACTCTCTCTTATCAGTGATAAGTTGATGTTATCACGGATAAGAGAGTGATAACCTGAGGAGGAGGTGATAACCTGCGGTAATCCGGCTAAAACACCCTACTTTCGGTGTTTATAATTGAAAAATTACCTCTTAGTTCTGTGTAAAGTGTTTCAAGACGGAAGATTTAATATGTATCCATTAACAACGTTTATCATAAATAACAATTTAACTTCTATTTGTGAATAACGGAGTCATTTATTTTAGATTTTACTTATCAACTTATTTGAACACTAAAAACGCTAGTTTTAATCGCTTTAGATTACTTTATTACATTTAAATTAATTACTACTAAAACTTAATCACAAATAAGTAGTTATTTTGGCCGGATTGAAAAATCAATCAATTAATTTAATTAGTGAATAAAAATGAATAACCTTTTTTATTCGTAAATTTTTTTAAGTTAAAATATTTTTTATTTATGTCCATTTCCCTGCTTTGAATCCCATACTAAGCTTTCACCTCCACTGTATTTTCATTATTTAAGTAATATATTAAGTAGAGAGGAATTGAGTTATCTTTTTGATGATGTGAAACTTGAGAGTTACAGAATTTCACGCACAGCAACACTATAATATATTAAAAAAATAACTATTTCTCTTCTGTAATTTTTAATTTAAACTAGGTAGCTAAATAGGTACAAGGCGTTTAAACTAATTCATTATCTAATACTGAGTAAAACAATCCATTCATTGGCATTTCTTAAGGCGCATTGTATAGGCAATAACATTATAATTTTTTTTTATAATATTTTCAAGGTAATGACTGTGGCACAATTATTTTAAAATAACTTTTAATTGATTAATTATTTCAATATTAAAAACTGCACTTTTTAACTTTTTTAAACTGCAATAATTAATTAACAAAAATAATTTTAAAATTGTGCCACAGTCGATGCCTTGAAAATGTTATAAATAATTAAAATGTTTTAAATGTTATAAATAATTAAAATGTTTTCTACAAATATTTTGTTTCAAAATTAAAAATGTTTATAATTTTACCTTAATTGTTAAACTATTTATTCTATTCGCAAAACACATCTACGAAAAGCATGAAAACCTCATACAATGTTTTTAAGTTATACAATGATAATAATCTGAAATTTTAATTTGTCAACAGCTGCGGTTAAATGTTAAATCGTATGCAAGCTGTCAACCTCAAGTCCATCTTCATCTCCAACTCCATCACTATTTCCAGCTCTAACTCCATCTCCTTTCTTTAGACATTTTATTTTTTGAACGATCCAATTATATAGCAAATTTTTACAGGACTGAAATCTCCTTCACCATTATTTCCACCAACTTAAAAAAACAAATAAGAACTTTAACAAAAAATCAGCCTTTTAGCTTATTAGTTACTATTTATTATTCAGGACATAACTGAAACATTTGTATAAAAATATATTAGGTATAGACAAATAATCCGGTGACACAGTAGTAGTGCGGATAGATAAGTAAAACAATTAAGTGTAGCCTTCACTATAGTTGCTTTTGTAACTACACAAAGTATCGCAATCCCATTAAAAACTATACTCTGTAACTATGAGTGTGCTCTCCGTGTTATTTCTACTTCTATATATACATATATACTAGCTGCCCGTGTACTCGATTTCGAGCGGGTAATTAAATCAGGGTGGTAATCTTTCGAAGACTAAAATGGGCAACTATAAAATGTGAAATGTGAAACCATGTATTTTTGGCCAGAAACTATGAATAAATATGATCAACTGTCAACCGTGATATTTGTACACGTAGTGCCATCTATTGGAATAAACTTTCACTAAAATCTTAAATTTTCCATTTTTTTTAGAAATTTGAATTTCGACAATATCTTGTGTACCTATTAAAATAATAGCAATATGTTTTTTTAAGTATTCTAATAATGGACTTAAAATGGACCTAAATTGACCTATTTTTACCTCATATTATGTCCCCTAATTTAAGGCAACGTGAAAAAAAATCCTTATAGGCTCCGCCGAGAGGCTCGTCTATAAGGTCGACGACTGTTATATTCATATTGGCCATTGCCAGTAAGGTAAGTGTACTCATTATTTACTAGAAATAATTCCTTACAAGAGTAATATAAATGTACAGTTATATTAAAGAAAAGCTATGGAAATGTATTGTTATGAAAGCTAAATGTTATACAACTGCTTTTTTTAAAAAAGCTATGCAAAACGATCCTTGGACTATATATTGTTAAAAAGACAAATCGGTGTAATTGCCGTTTCAAAGTCTAAAGCGATCAAACAAATTGGATTTTTAAACTTAATCGAAAATTTTGAAAATAATTTTTTTGAGCTGTAACTTTTTCTCAAAGTTAAATACAGACTATATTACAATGTCTGTTGCAATGTAAATATAGTACAACTATCGAAATGATTGCAAAAAATATTAAATTATATAAAGTCTGAAGAAATTTATGGTGAGTTCCTTTATGTTTAAACAGGAAGGAACTCATTTGTTTTAAATTTGGTCTTATAAAGTACTTTCGATACCATTTAAGATTATTACATTATAATTATCTGCAGCTAAAAATGAAGCTTTACTGAGTGTTTTGGCAAAAACTATAGGTAATTATATAATTTTTACATGTGCCTTACCAGGTTAGTTAAAAACAAAAAATAACATTTTATATTCATCTTATATTTACAGAGGACTATAAGAAGGAGGTTGTCATTACAAGTCAGTATCGCCCATTTAATACAAAAAAACTTCAATTACCAACTTAATTTTTTGGACTAATTAAATTTGTTTTTATACATAATATGTTTTAAAAAATATATTACAGACACAATAATCAGGCAAGGTACCCAAAGTGGAAGTAAAGTATATTTTAAATAATTATTCTGATATATAATTGTGGTGTGATATTATATTATTATTATATTGTCTGTTAATTAAATGATTAATAAATAAAAAAGGTATATTTCTATATTTTATAGTAATTCTACTTTTACTATTACTATTACTATTACTACTATTTTTACTATAACTATAACTATTACTAATACTATTACTTTTTGTTTTACTATAACTAGTAATAGTAAATGTAATAGTAGTAGTAATAGTAAAACAAAATGTAAAAGTAATAGTAATAGCAATAGCAAAAAAACTATAAAAAATCTATACATCTTTACACCCGAGTGGTAGAGCACGTGGAGGTACAGCTGTAATCATAAGAGATACCATAAAGCATTTCGAGCGTGAAAAATACTCAGAACTGTACATACAAGCTACAAGTGTTCGTGTTAAAGATGGGAATAATAACCTCACGATTACGGCTATTTATTGCCCACCGCAAGGAGGTGCAGATGAAATTTAATTTACTGCATTTTTCCAAACGCTAAGAGACCGATTCATTGCTGGTGGTGGCTACATTGCCAAGCACTCTCACTGGGGATCAAGACTGATCACTCCGAAAGGGCGTGCTCTACTAAAAGTAGCTAACACTATAAACGCTGAAATAATTTCTACTAGAGAGCCAACCTACTGGCCAGCCGATTCTAAGAAAATCCCCGACCTGCTTGACTTCTTCGTAATTAAAGGCATCTCCTCTAATTATGTTGAAGCTGAAGGACCAACAGAGCTAACGTCCGACCACATCCCTGTGTTATTATCGTTAAGCTCAAATGTCATTATGAAAAACCGAAAACATTTTCAAATAAACAAATACACAGACTGAGACCTGTTTACAAATACTCTGGAAAAAGCTTTCACTCTTTCTGTGCGGTTAAAATCGTCAACAGACATTGAAATGGCAGTACATACGACTCGTAAACTGACTAATGACATTGTTGAAGCGGCAAAAACGGCAACACCTGAAGCTCAAAAAGGCAACGATCGCGAGTTCAACTACCCGAAAGAAATCAGAGAGCTTGTTCTACAAAAGCGCGGCGAGCAAGACGAATTTGGCACAGAACTCGACACCCATCCGATAAAACCGAATAGAACCGAGTCAGCATAATACTACATGATAAAATCAAAGAAGTGAAAAATGAAACATTAAAATCGTATTTGTGTGGCTTATCTGCAACAGCCGATTCCGATTACTCTTTATGGAAAGCCACAAGACGATTAAAAAGACCTCGCGTTCATAAACCACCCATCCGAAAGGAAGATGGCACTTGGGCGCGCAGTGAACAAGATAAAGCTGAAGTATACGGACATCATCTCGAACGTGTGTTTCATCCAAACGACATGATTTCTGAACTTGACAGCATTCAATGTCAGCCACTTATTTCTATAAGAGAAATCATACGGCACTTTACACCACTTGAAGTAGCCCATGAAATCGATACCAACATCAACACCAAAAGGCACCTGGATACGACGAGATCAGCACACGCATCCTTAAAGAGCTACCTAAGAAGGCAATCATCCACCTTACTCACATCTTCAACGCCATCTTGCGAACGAAATTTGTTCCCGAGCAATGGAAATAAGCGGAGGTAATTTTATTGCTCAAACCTGGGAAACCACCCGAACAAGCCACCTCTTATCGGCCGATATCGCTTCTACCATGCATTACAAAACTATTCGAAAAACTTCTTCTTAAGCGTCTTAGCCCCCTGCTTGGGGTACCCATTTATTTGGGTAACGGGTGTGACATCCCCGCGGACCTCAGTCAACCAGGTGGAGGTGTAGCCTGAAGGATGTCAGGATCGTCTCAGGTAAGTAAGTGACTACATAGATCGTAGCACTGAAGCACCTCCTCCACCATGTTGGGCCCTCCATTAATGGGGGTTGTCATTGGCCAACAACCCAATACGCAAAAATAAATAGTTAATGGATTGTAGAAACTATAGAGGGAATCACTACTCGACTCTTCATACAAGATTCTGTCAAACTGCTGTGGTGTATTCCTTGATGTGGCCCAAGCTTTTGATAAAGTTTGACACAAAGGTTTATTAATAAAACTGCAAGAGCAGCTCCCACATACATGGTGTGCACTTCTCAAATCATATCTGACTGAATGACAGCTTTGCGTTAAATACGAAGAAGCTACCACTAACTGGAAGAGTATATCAGCTGGAGTACCTCAAGGTAGTGTTCTCGGACCTATTTTGTACCTACTCTATACAGCTGATATTCCAACTAATGACGATAGCTATGTTTGCCAATGACTCGGCCATACTGTCAACCAATAAGGACCAACAAGCTGCGACTGAGATCCTACAAGTGACAATCAACAACGTTTACGACTGGACAAAGCGTTGGAAAATAAAAATCAATAGTGACAAGTGAACGGTGCACGTCAACTACACGCTACGTAAAACCGCATATATCCCAGTCACGCTTAATCAACAGATAATCCCACAAAATAATTCGGCAAAATATCTGGGAATGCACCTTGACTCGCGACTTAACTGGAAACATCATGTACGCCAGAAAAAGTTGCAAATCAAAGAAAAAATGCGCAAACTGTATTGGCTAGTTGGGCGACACTCCGAGCTAGACCTAACCAGCAAACGTCTCCTGTATGTATCGATCGTTAAACCGATTTGGATGTATGGTATTCAGTTGTGGGGTTGCGCCAGTAGGTCTAATATCGAACTCATCTAACGTTGACAGAACATCGCTCATCGTACTATTGTTGCAGCATATCGGTATGATAAGAACGACATCATACTGCGCGATTTAAAAAAACATCCGTGCAGGATGAAATTACCCGGTTTGCCCGCAAACACGCAAAAAGACTAGAGCTTCACTCAAATACAGCTGCCATACAACTCCTCGACAAGTTGCAAGACATCAGACTACTCAAACGACTGAAGCCATTCGACTTTTACTACTACTTTTACTTTTACTATTACTATTTTTATAACTATTACTACTACTTTTTGTTTTACTATAACTATTAGTACTACTTTTACTATTACTAGTAATAGTAAATGTAATAGTAGTGGTAATAGTAAAACAAAATGTAAAAGTAATAGCAAAAGTAGTATTAATAGTAATAGTAAATGTAATAGAGAGATTACTACTATTTTTACTATAACTAATACTATTACTATTTTTATAACTATTACAACTACTATTACTTTTACTATAACTACTACTTTTACTATTACTATTACTATTACTTTAAATATTACTTTTACTATTACTTTTACTATTACCTTTACTATTACTGCTACTACTACTATTACTACTCGTTTTCGTTTTTCCTCCTCACAATATTTTTTCTTCCTATCCCCGATCTTCTCTTCTAACCTGAACCTAACCTAGTCTTAACTATCGAATCCAAATTTCACATAAAGCTTACAGAACCTTACTTAAGTGTGCAGAAAATTTCACCCCCCCCCCTTCTCCCCCGTAGACATGTTCATGTCAATGATGTTTAAGCATTCTTTTTAAAAGTATTTACTTTCGACACGGCTCAATAGATGTTTTAGTTGAATTTCAGTCATTGATCTTCTACTATAATTAATATCCTTTAAACTAGCGTTCCCGATTAGAGGATCTGCAAAAAAAATCATTGTTTTGCTAACAAATAATTTAATTACAAATCTGTTCGAAAATGTATTGTTTTTTAAAAATAATGTAATGTATTTTTATAAATTATATTTGGCCAATTTTAATTATACAATTATAATAATGAAACATTATAAAATAAGTGATTATATATATGACTTATGACCAATACTTGAACAAGATATTAGTATTAAAACTATTCAGTATTTGTTTTAAATAATGCATAATCACAATATTAAGTATAGGTGCTTGAAAATTTGTATACACATTATAAATGCATTATTTTTTAATTTTTAATCTGCTTCAATTTAAGTTCCTGACAGACATTGAACTCAATATCTTCACTGTACATGGCGACATGTGAAATATTTTCCGGTAAATTTGATAATAATAGAATACAAAAGATGTAATAACGTTGGCAATAGTTTCATTCCAGGTATAACAAAATTTATGAGAAGCTAAAATATTATGTACTGTAGATTTCAATACAAATTATAGTGCTACTAAACAATAAATGAATCATGTTACAATGTTTACAAATGATTTATACTTAAATATTTTTTATATAATATTAACTTAGAGTGGTACAATTGCTCTAAAAATAAAAAACGGATTATACTGGTTTATATTTGTAAAAGAACCTCAGGAATGAATTATTGTTATTGAGTAAAATACGTTTTTAAAACAAGTCTATGCGATGACTTTTATTTTAAATACCTATTTGTATAGTGCATACGGGTTTAGAATGGAATATATGGTTAAAATTCGATAATGCAAACATTAGTCTTAAGAGTGATTGGAATACCAGTAACTAATAGTATGTTCTGTTTAAGCTCGATTTGGTGTAATGTAGACATGTAATTATATTTTTAAAAAACACCTCTGTAAATAAATCTACATAGACGACACAGACACATAATATATTAACACTACTGTTATAAATAGAAGCCGCAAAAAAAATTATTTATTAACAGTACAGCAAGCTGATCGAATAGGCTATTGCCTTAAAATTTCAACAGCATTTTATATCGTAGCTATAAAATTTTTGTCTCTTGCACAAAATACTTACAAATAATACGGTATTATTGTTTGCAGCTAAAATGAAACTTTGCTGTGTTTTGTTTTCATTAGCCGTTGTGAAGGTTTTGGCGGAAAAAATAGGTAATAATTAAATTTTTACACAAACCTAAAAAGAATTACTTAAAAATTTAAGAAAAAACTTCAATATTTATATTTTATTTACAGTGGATTATAAGACGAAGGCTGTCATTACAAGTCAGTAATATAATTATTTTATCCAAAATAACTTTCTTTAAGTTTTTTATTTTGTTTTTATGCATAAGTTTTAAATAATATATTGCAGACGAACTACTCAGGCAAGCTTGTGATATAACAGGTATAGTATACTTAAAATAGAATATTCTGATCTGAATAGTGTATATATTATAAAAAATGATTTATACATTTCTAATTTTCTGTTCATCATGATTACATAACAAGTGTAGTACCAGTATTTAAAAAACCTTTTCTACTCTAAGTTAAGTTAATTATGCACCGCTTTTAATGATGTTTTATCTTCACGGACTCTTATTTTTATGGTTTTTTTGTCTAATAAATGTATGCCTTGATTTAAATATTAATATAGTAAAAGTAATAGTAATAGTAGTAGTAATAGTAGTAAAAGTATAACTACTACTTTTACTATTACTATTATTCTAAGTAAAAGTAATAGTAATAGTAGTAGTAAAAGTAATAGTAAAGTAGTAGTAATAGTAATAGTAAAAGTAGTAGTTATACTTGTACTACTATTACTATTACTACTACTAATACTTTAACTATTACTATTACTTTTACTATTACTTCTACTTTTACTATTACTATTACTTTTACTATTACTATTACTATTACTATATTTATTACTTTTACTATTACTACTACTATTACTTTAATATTAATATTTTATTTGAAATCTGTTTATTTTTTCTAGCGGGATTTCCAACTATAATAAAAAGAATTGTACTTGGAAATCAATATTCAATGGGTAATCCTAATAATAAAATAGAAAAAAAAATTATAATGACAAAAAGTGATATGAAAAAATGTTCGAAAGTGATAGTAAAATAATCACAACAAAAAATTAATCCATACAAAATAATCAGTGATATAAATCTTAAATTTACTTAAATTTATTTTATGCTACTTCAGTCTGATCTTCAATTCATCTATTTTATTATGGTGCTTTTTTCGATTTAATAATACGCACTTAATTTCTCTCTTGACTGAAATATTCTAATTTATAAATAAAAAATAAAATTAATCCAGTTTAGTCAATAAACGATGTACTATGTTTTGTACATTTTAGAGGAATTGGCTTTTATGTTTGCTGTGCCGGGTAATAATTTTGCGCTTTATGGAAGTATCTCCACAAAGTTAATTTATACTCATTATGTGATAATTGTTTTCTTTTTAATTTTAGATTATGCAGACACTGAAGGCCTTAATATATTTCGTAATAACCTATATATATTTCATACATAATATGTATTATAGTTAACACTGATAATATATATTAAAAATAATAATATATATACATGGACATATACATACAAATATAATTTAAATACTATCGAAAAAAATATGTACATTAAAATGTATTTTGTTTTGAACTTTAGAATGCATGAAATACGAACGTGATGTGCAAGAAGCAATATTCGAAGGCATTAATTGTAAATATAATATTAATATTGTTATATGGACAATTTGTATATAATTATGTTTAGATTAAAGTTTTGATGCGTTTTCAAAACAATTTATATCTCATAGATTAACGCAAACGGGGCTACTAGAAATAGTTTAGAACATTGATTATAAATAATAGTTGATAGCATAATAAACAATTTGATTTGAACAGTTATCAAAAAATATAATTATATAGTAATTAGTAAATAGAGTTTAAAGTCATTAGGCATTTGGCTTTTTTTGTATTTGGCTCATTTATTATGAATTGTATGATTATTTGAAATTTTGTTATAGCTCTCGATGATGAGTACAAGGAAGTGCCTAAGATTGATGCTGCTAAGATCCCAGGTAGGTTTTCACGCTTTTTTTATAGTCTTAAATGATCTATACATATTATTAATCATAACTAATCAAAATTAGTATAAGTTACTAGCTAAATTTTTGGATACTACTTCTCGACTTAAAAAACTACTCAAATAAAATATAATTCGGTCGAAAAAACAATACATTTTCGAACAGATTTGTATTTAAATTATTTGTTAGCTAAACGATGTTTTTTTTTTGCAGATCCTCTAATTAGGAACGCTAGTTTAAAGGATATTGGTTATAGTAGAAGATCAATGACTAAAATTCATCTAAAACATCTATTGAGCCGTGTCGAAAGTAAATATTTTCAAAAAAAAATGCTTAAACATCATTGACATGAACATTGAACATGTCTAGGGGAGGGGGGTAAAATTTGCTGCACACTTAGGTAAGGTTCTGTAAGCTTTATGTTTAATTTGGATTAGATAGTTAAGAATAGGTTAGGTTCAGGTTAGAAGAGAATAGAAGAGAAGATCGGGGAGGGGAAGAGAAAATATGGAGAGGAGGTAAATGGAAAGCGAGGAGAGGAAACAAAGAAAGTGACGGGAGGAGAAGGAGAAAAAAATATGGGTACGGAAGGATAAGAGTAGGGAGGGGAAGAAAAAGTGGAGTAAAAGAAGACTGGGTAAGCATGGAGAAGATAAATAGAGAGAGGAGAGGAGAGAAATGGAAGAAGAAGAGAGGATAAGGGAAAATAATGACCATGATTATAAACATCAACATGAATATACATTTCAAGTGCGGAATATCTGCTATATTAGAATTCTATCTGTATAGATATAGGTACAATAAAACATATTTGATATTCATGAACATGATGGTACATGAAATTTAATGTTGGAGGGAGATAAGGTGCATCTAGAGTTCTATCGAGGATAGAAATAATAAAGTCTAAGTCAGTGTATTGACAACGAGATTATAACTTTAGAAATACTTACATAGTTCATATGAAGTGAGTAATCATGCCAAGGATATATAATCTGAAGAACATGGCCAACATAAAAATGCCTTTACTACTACTCCATATTTAATAAAGACAGAACTAATGCAAAATACAGTGTTCGGATTTAATTAGCAGAGTTAAATAGTTTGGTACGATAATACGCATTGAAAAACTTTTAAAAGACTTCAACAATGGCAGTATTTATATGTTGCTTAAAGTTTAATGTTGGAGTTCTTTTAAACACGGCCAAGTATGATGCCATTAAAGAGTATTAATCGTAAATAGGACAATGTTGTCTAAAAAATTACGTAACTTCACTTTTGTCTACATTTAGACTAAGATTTGTTGCACTCTGATTACAAAAATGTTGAGTTCAGATTGAACAGCGTGAAAATCCACAACTGACCAAATACACGATATCACTTAAAAATAAAAAACGGAGAACAGTCATGAATTTGATAAAGATGTGTATTTCTTAATTGTAGACTTTAAATAAGCCTATGTCAATTGTAAGAAGTGTTATTACTATGGAACGCGATGGTCCAACTAGAAATGCCTACTAAGCTTGTTAGGATGGTGAAAGCATGTATGCAAAATTAAGATGCAAAATTCAATTCAATTGGTGGTATCAGAGGAGGTTACAGTGGTAAGACAAGGTGATGACAGGGTCTCCGGTTTTATTTAACACTGCGTTGAATCGGTCGTTAAAGAAGAACTGCAAAGTGAGCCACAGGGTTTAAAATTTGAATATGAAACAAAGATAATAGATAGTATTGGCCGCGTAAGCAGGGTAGTGATAGCAGAAACAGAGGATAGTCTCAAAAGTACAACCGAAAATTTGATGGATGCAGCGAAAAAGATTGGTCTTGTCGTCAATGAAAAAAATTCAAATGTATGATTTTATTCACAAAATGCAATAACAATAAAATATATGTCATTTAAAGGAGTCCATAAATTTAAATACTTAGGATTATATGTTGATTAGACTTTTGAATTCAGTTTTTTCAATTCAGTTCTTGTTCTTAAAATACCTATTGACATGTTTGGTACATCGTTTATGTGATGACAATTTATTTTAAACACTTTTAATGAATAGGTAATAATTTACAACAATATATCAAAAATATAACTCTGACTAGCTATAAATTATGACTAGAAATATTAAAACTATATTCAATAACTAGTCAACACAACTAATATATGTATAAAATGCAATCTACTACAAAGTTTTATTGAAGAAAATAAAAATTCTTAATAATATTATTCTTAATCAATTTTCTTATTAATGTTTCTTTTTTGAATGAATGTTACACGAATTTTATAAATAATAATTCATGTACCTAAATAATAAGCTAAATTTATCAGGTTAAAAAAATTAATGTTGTATTTTTTAAGGACGAAAGGAAGAAAGTTTTACTGCTATTCATGTTTGTTATTTAATTGGATTATATAAAAATTCAACGATCCCACGATTTGGAACATTGCCATTTATAAAAACTGCCAAGGTTGACGATGATGGCACTTGCATCCTAACTTCTTCAGAAGACGATGTTACTTATTACAAACACTATATGTTTGATATATTTCAATTTCGGCCGGATATCCAAAAGAGGAAGTACTTTTGAATCAAGATTAGGTACTAATAATTTCTATACACTCATTATTAATAATTATTAGATACACTGTATCAATAATTTTTTCCATATCGCACTATTACAAATAATTATATAACAGTTTTGGTCAATACTTTAAACACATTTGTTGGCTATATGAATTTTTTGACCATTTGTAAATAATTTCAACGTTTTTACTTTTTTTACTGTTTTGTATATTATAAAAAACTAAAAACTTTTTTCTTGGTTTGGTTTTTTCTGGTTACTTATATTATTTATACCTTTTCTTCACTTAGTTATACATGTTAAATAGTTATTTTAGTTTGAACATCGCTATCGCTATTTACTCAAAGTATTTAAATAATCATTGTTTTTTTGTGCTTTTCCTCAACGCTTACAAACAAAAATATCATAATTATTTATAACTATGGTCTAAACGGTGTCTAAAAAGATTTTATCGATGGAAACCATAACAATATATTTATTTTCTGTACGGTACATTCAATAAGCAAGTTCAATAAAGTTAATATTATGATTTAATACTTTATTTTGTAAAAGTTCTGTTGTTTATTATGCTATTTATAACTATATTATTTTGTACTCTTTGCCCTTAAGGTCGTAACTACAATTAGTACAAAAAAATGGCATGTGTGTACTAGGTATGGTTTTATGTTTTCCAAAACACTTATTAAATAAACACATTTTGTTCTATATTCGTTGGTCTACGGGCCTTCCGATAAAATATGATTATTTCTTGTTCTAATAATGTAGCAATAAATTATGATGCAAATATAAATTTACTTCCCGAATATGCGAATACACAAATCTGCAGTTGTTCAAAAACAATTTTAATATCGACAAAATTATAATACTGACACTTATGTCCTTGAAATTGTGTTTGCAGCACCTGGTACGTTTACGACTGATCATCTATCATCTATGTTTTTTGTTGACTGTATACCTATTGTCTGTTGTGGACTCACTTGCACTTATCAACGTAGAAATTTACTACGTTCAATAATGCTAACCTTTGTTGTACTCTTAAGAGTTTTGGTAAATATTCAATAAGAGTTATCACGTTTAGTAAGTATGATTGAGTAGTAAGAGTCGAGCTAAGGCGCAGTAACAATAATTATCGTTTGAGTTTAAGTTTCCAAAGTTAATATGAGAATAGCTGATTTGGAGAGGATGTAAGAAATATAAAAATCTGTGCAAAATTGAGATCACGTTGTATAAAAACCCTACAGAAAACAAATGTTTAAAAAAATTAATAAACTCTATGATATATTCAGTGGACCACATTAAAAAAATCATCAGGTACATAAGAATTTTATCACTATCGACATTCATTTAATACATAAAAAATTGACAGTTTAATAATTTATTAGTTTTCAAAGTATCGTACGTGCTCTATCTGTAAAAAGTGGCAACTATATCAAGTGCAACTAAAATTCTTTAAAATTCTTTCTCAATACGATAATAGGTACTTGCTACTTAGGTAAGGTACGAATTTTATCGGTAGACTAGCATTTAAAATTGAACCGCAAAATGTCAATAACGCAAGTGTTAGGTTTACGAATGGTTGTTAAACTATGAAATCAGATACACATAGTTTAAACTTTAAACTCCTATCTGGCGTAATGTATATAATATGAAATTACAGTGCAAAAGCAGCTTTGTCAATAAAACAACATGAATAAAATATATTTTGTTTTTTATTGTAGCTACAAAAATATTATGTTTAAACAGTCGTTTAGCAATCTGATGGAATAGGCCATTTTGTTAAAAGTACTATCATTTAAAAAATAACAGTATTCGACTTATAAAAATTAAAGAATGCTTTTAATACTTATTTTTTTATGTTTTTGTATTTAACTGCGCTTAAATGTTTGTATTATCAATATTATCGATAAGTGCTTATTACAGACATTTTATTTAAAAAGTACATCATAGCGTGTATACGAAAACAACAAAAAACTTAAACGAAGGACCAGCCGAAATCTTTAGGCACGAGAACCGAAGCCGATATTAAGTCAGTTTTGGGTAGGCAACCTAACACACACTATCGTGGTTAGCTGATCAAAGGGCACAACGGTAAGACAGTTGGACGACAACAACACGGAATCGACGCAGGAAAAATGTTGTGTTATTGTTATTTGCAGCTAAAAATTAGGCTTTACTGTGTTTTGTTTTCATTTGCCATTGTAAATGTTTTGCCAGAAACCATAGATAATCATTTCATTTTCACGCGTGTCAAAACGGTTAATTACAAATAATTAAATATTTAACTTTTTTTCGTCAGAGGACTATTTGTAGCTGATTGTCATTACAAGTCAACTCATACAAATTACTTAAATTACTAAACATTTTAACTCATTTTTATCCACACGTTTTAAATAATATTGAGCAGATGACCTAATCAGTCAACCTAGTCAATTAAGCGGTAAAGTATAATATTTAAAATAAATAGTTTGATATATTATATAGTTGTTATGTTATATTTGTTTAATAAACAAATGGTTTATAAATTAAAAATTTCTGTTTCTATAATCTGTCCATATTAAGAGTGTACACGCTGTATAATATTTATCGCTTTCTAAATACTTATTGTTAATTTATGGAGATTAAATTATTCGTGAACATTATACAGAGTACATTTTTTGAAGTTATCCATGAAATTCATCATATGGTTTAATTAGTAGTAGAATATTTTTTCGGTGAAGTTCTTAAATAACGCGATCTCAATTTTTGTTTTTTTAATGCCATTCTAAATTAATTATTTTGTTATCAAATTTTTAACTTACAAGAAATAACTTTAGATAAAATACAAACTTTTAATTTATATTATTTGTGAGATTATTTTAAATGTTTGTTACAGGTATTTGTTGCTGTAACCATAAGTACTACCATAAGCTTTTATTCGGTAATCGTAAATAGTCTTGAAGAACTACAAATATTAAATTATAACATACTTTAATTACTGCTGTATTGTTTTTTTCGACGAATGGAAGTAATTACTTTTTATATAATAGGCATTAGTAAAACAATTAAGTAACAAAAAGTGCTGAAAATTCAAAAACATTATTGCTTAGAACTGAAAGTTTTGAGTATTTCAAAAAAGCCAAAAAATATGGTCAAACTTTTCAAAAATTTGGTAATTCTACTGTTATATCAAGTGTAATTATTATTGTTCGCCAGTATTGAACTAGGTAACGCAAATACATTCTGTAGTAGGTAACATGTTCATGTGCAGAAGTTAGAGTGCAATGATCATGAAGGTCAGTTGTAGCAATATTTATACATTTTTGTACAATTTAAGTAAATAACAAATTTGGATAGGACTGAAAATTTCACGGTCATCTAAAAAAAAGTTAGTAATTTGGTTTTAGGTTACCATAAAGTCCTGTTCAAATGTGTCATTTAATTCGATTGTTTAAAACTACCTACATTGCTCGCATCATAAAAATCACATGTATTTGTAAATTTTAGCACAGTTGACCCTCGTGGTCATTGCACCCTATCTTCTGCACAATCACGATTTTAGACACATTTATTGGCTATTTTGATTTTTTTACGAGTTCAATATTATTTCAAGATTTTCACCTTCATTGCTATTTTATATAATTAAAAAAACGAAATCACCATGTTTGTTTGGACTTTACTTTTGTTGTGTACGACTGAAAGAAATATACTATATCACTAGTTAGACAATTGTCTATATGATCAACTTGCTTTAAAAATGGGTTTCTCGCAATTCATCAATAGATTTATATTTTACCGAAACACTAAAATCTAAACACCTATATTTTGCTAGGTTAGCAATTTACCATAAGTGGTTTTATTGACAAACGGGTTTTTCAATAAGATTATATATATTTACAGTACACTAAATCAGAGTTTGAACTGCGTGTATTGCTTTTTGGTTTTACAACTAATGTACAACTAATGCTTGTATTATTTCAATTTTATTTACGATTCAATTTTATGTGCTATTTAAACGATAAAAAAGTTGACCTATTATAAACAATAATATACTTATTATTAAACATAAGGTTTCCTTCTTATTATTATGGGACCGAAAAAATTAAAGCGATAAAAGTACTTTCAAATATACGTTTTGATGCAAATCTAAAAACGGTAAAAATACAAATATCGATAAACCATAATAGTAAAAACAATGTGCTAAGAAAAATTTGTTTGTACACTGGAATATATACGGTTAAACTTGATCGTCTGTTTCTAATATATTGTTTTCATTTTCATCCGTTACAAAAAATATTTAACTACATTATTTTCAGCAAATCGTATACATATAAAAAATAATGAAAACACGTCATAAATAAAATACCTTCCCAGCCACGCGTCGAACTTAAAAATCACTGTAGTGAAACACAGAAGTTTTTTGGTATAATCTTGCTATCTAAGGATTAGACGCTGAAAATTAGACTTAAGATAGGTCTAACATATACCTATAACGTGTATAAAAAACAAAATTGGATATTTATGTTAAAAAATCTATGGTTGAATTTTTTTTTTGTAATGAAAAAACCCAAAAAGTGACTCAAACCTTATCTGTGTAGATTTTAAAGACTATTGTGAGCTTACAAACTTGATATTTTGTATATAACCCTTTAAATGAACACATGACTATACTTAAAGTATACCCATTAACTATACTTTAAGTATAGTTAATTAAAAACCAAGCACAGTGTTAACCAGTACATTCCAAACTAGTATAGTTTAAACCTGTAGAATATAAATCAAATACCGTCTTAACCAGTGCAGTTCAAACCATGCACAGTTTAAGCCAGTGCAGTCCGAACTAGTAAAGTCTTCTTCTTATCGTGTCCATGAATTTACTTGGTTTTGGTAAAATTAGTTCGCTGTTTTAATTATACACTTGTATTAACAGCTGTGTATTGGTACCACTATAAATGAGCATAGTTTTTAAGGAGGGTTTTTAACTTGAAAGTAGTTTAATCACTTTCAAAAGCCTTGATGTGAATATATGTATAGTACAACCTAGTCAGCTTAAATTAGTACAGCTTAAACTATTAGAATATAAACAAAGTTTTGTTTGTATCAGTACAGTACAAACCAAGTACTGTCTAAACCAATACAGTCGAAACCAATGACAGTTTATACTAACACAGTAAGAAATTAGGGAGAAAGGGAGAATAAAATTGATATTTATTATAAATTGTATGTAATCTGTGTTAAAATTGGATATTTTTTTGTTACAATTTTTAGTAGTTAAATCAAAACTAGAGATCGAAAAGTATAACAAAATGCAATCCTTCTTCTTTTTGCATCTAATAATTATGTCATTTAGAAGCCTACATAAATTTCTTTAAAATGGTCAGTGAGTATTACATTTATTATTGGTTAATATTCATTATATTCAAATGTGTGTTTTTTTACAGATATTCCACGTATCATTAATATATATTCGGAAATACAAAGTCGATGGTTTTGTATCCTATCATAAAAAACGATAGAATTTTTAAATTTATTGGGTAATAACTATCTTGAGTTTCACGAAAGAACCGTTCAGAATTTGTTCGATTACATTGAAGAAGTTCAAAATATTTATTATAATTTCGTTCAACGTATCTATCATCAATTGTTGCCTCTTGATTTGGCCCAGGATAATTTTGGAGAATCCGGTTTACTTCTTTTGCTAATATTTTTGTAATATTATTTATCTTCTCGTCGTTGATATCGTATGTTTCACTTAACAAATTAATGACTTCGTTAAAGATTTGGTCATCAACATAAACAAACAATAGCGCTTTACTTAAATCATTTATAAAATAATTATGTTCAAATCTACCGTCAATTCCTGTTTTTTGATATAAATGTAAATGAACCCAAATATAACTGTACAATTTTGCCTTTAAGACATCCAAAACTAATTCGTAATATTTTGAGTATCTAAACGGCTGTGTTGTACATTCTCCCTTCTGGAGTTCATTTTTGATATTTGTCATTTCCTTTTCCAATATGTCGTGTGTAATTTTCCAATTATAGGCAAGACCAGGGATTTCTTTGAAAATCCATCCCGGAAACCAAAACATTTTAGTCGTCAACAAATGGTTGACAACAATAGGGAAATCATAACTTTCAGACTTCTCTCGAAATCGTTGATATTTTTCGTCATACATTTTTAAAAATGTATCAAACTGTAGAAGTCGACCAGATTTCTCGTTGTAATCATTTAAAGTGTAATCAAACCTTTTCATTAAGTATTTATTTTTACGACACAACCTTATCAATTTCTGTAGGGTAACGTTAAGTTCCGGTAAGAGTTCTTCAAGGAATTTTTGGATGGTTAACTTCGAGTTTTTCATGTCTAATAGTTTTCTATGCAGTTCCCAAAGCCATGCGCTCACTACGAATTTCCCTCTGTACGACATTTCTATCATATTGTACACGTATTTGACAATAACATCCAAAGAACTTCCGACATTCGGTAAGCTAAACTTCAAAAGTACACTATTCGTGCACTGTATTTCTTGTATTTTACGGTAGAATTTAAGTTGAGTAAGAATTCTATTGGTTTTTGATCCGTCATTATAATTGGAGGTCAGTGTTGTTATCTCGCCACTGCTGAAATGAATGGGCTCGTAACTCAATGTCTTGTACGTGTCCAATAGCCGAATGAAATCAATTGGATACTGTCCAGCATAGAAGAACTGTTGTAAGTGTTCAACCTAAAAACATAAGTACTAAAATGTAGATTTGAATATTCTTTTATATGTTTATTTCAACCAAAAATTACCTAATTGGGAAATGTAACGATAATATAAGGGATAGTTGGTGACTAATTAATGAACTACTCTTTCTCAGTTAGAGGGAGAGAGTTGCTGAGGCTATTCCTCTAAAAGATATAACTATTAACCAGTATTCAACATACTTTTACATAGTTTTTACTCCTCATAGTTTGTGACGTTTGAACTGGTAGAAAATAATTTTCTTTATAACGAATTTTATTCACATGTCTAAAAATAATTATGACAGTGTCTTCATACTTAAATTAGCATTATACTATACACCGTAAGTTTGGAGAAGTTACAAGTATCTTAAACAAACTAAGCAACAGCTCTGCACCAAGTCTAGAAAGTCTTAATATACTCCTCAAACAATATAGATAAAATGTAATTTTACCAATTGTACAAAGCATTAATATAGTTGGTACAAGTAATGCCACGGTTTCCGATGCATTAAAATAAACAGTGATTGTTCCTATCCATAAAAAGACGGATAACATGATTTTTGCTCAAACGAAGTGCTTGAATACCAATGATGTAACTATAAATAAACTTAATTTAAAAAGAGCTATTTCTTATGATAATTAATGATATAAAAAATTGTTTACAATAATAATGTAGAAGTTAGAACACTTAAATGGTGTCTGTATAATGAAACAAACTAAAATATTAGTTATGGTGATTTAAAAATATGTCCTTAACAAATATTAATAATTCCTAATATATTTTTGTTTACTTGAATTCCTCGAGCAACATTTGATTCCGATATCGCAATGGTTATTTCGGAGGCAGTTGGTCTGAGTAAAGTCTTTCTATGTAATGTTTCATAATGTCTTCTAGGACGTGATTCTTCGTAGTCATTGTCACATCTATTAACGCCCGTTGATAAATAACAGATGAAATTAAGTGTTAAACAAAAAACGCTTAATTGAAATCTCATAATTATGAAAATAAGCGCTCACAATTCCTTAATACTCTCAAGTTATGAAAATGTAAAGTGAAAAAAATGTACAACTATAGTATTTTAAAACAAATGCACACTGCTCATCGGCAAAAATATAAAAAAACTTACCTATTATGTTCTTATTTTTTGTTTGATCTTCAAAATGTATGGTCATGTTATTTTGTACAAAGGTGCTTTGAGCTAACAAACACAATGGTTTTGGTTACCTACTATGCAAATTTAAAAACTAGTAGTATTGTAATAGCTGTTATAATAGACAAATTAAACAGTACAACAGTAGAACAACAGTTATAGTGACAACTGTAACTTGTTATTATTTACCGAAAAAGTTGGATAGTTATATTCTAAGTTTGGTTAAAAAAAATATTTTAAAAATGTCAAAAAATGTTAAGTACGGTTTTTTTTTTTTTTAGACAAGTTATTGATGTACATCGTATACATCAAGATTATATCTTCAGTCTAATTTTCAGCTCTTGAGTCATAAAAATGAAAAATGTCAATCAATCATACGAAAATCATACTTTATAGGGTCAAAAGTTTAAAACTTTTAGACTGATTTAATTACATAAAAAACCCTATAAAAAATTCAACACCTAATTGTTCCTTTTTTTTCTCCACTTATTATAGTGTTATCAGTAAATATACATTATTAAAGTATTCAAGTACAAAGTATATAGATGCCCTAATACGGGAGCTATAACTTTGCAATAGCAACCTTTATAAAGTTCCAATAAGAATATTTGAATGATATGAAACTGTCAACTGATAACAAGATAATATAGGTACGATGTTTGTTTTGATAATTCAGCTGTAGTCTAAAGTCTTAACTATACCTACTATAATATTGCTCTAAATTCGTATCTTTTATTATCCACTGACCATGTGACCACGAATCGTTTTAGTAACAATAGTTTGTACCATTTGATGTTTGTTTGTTTACATAAGTGTTTTTTCGAGATAAAAATTGACATTCGCCCTAAATTTTCTACAGCACAATATTAGTGTCGTAATGCACCTCAAAAAAAGCTCGAGTCTTAACAATTTGTTTAAATGTATAAATCACTAATAAGAAATTAATGATATAAAACTATTATTAACACATAATCCAACGATTATTGCAAATAAGAGTCCAATAATTACTGTTGTTATAAATTAAACTAAATATTTAAATATAGCACATTATATACAATGCAATATGAGCAACATGATTATTAATATTTTGGACGTATTTATTAATGGAAGTGACGATAAAACCGATTAATTGTATACAATAAAATTTTAAAAACTAGTAATGTAATTAAAACAAAATAATAGTTTTTTAAACGGTAAGTAGTATTTTTTTTCTTTAAAAGTGCAACATTCTTAGACAAAATTCTGATAAAACAATTATTTAGTTATTTATATTTTAATTACTATAGCTACATTGTCAATTTTTAGCACTCAAATAATGTTTGCAATCATAGCTTTGCATTGACGTTAAGGCTAACTTATATTATAATATTAGTTGTAGTTTACTATATTAGTGTACATTTTAAATTTCACAAAAAAAAAATCAAATTGTTTAGTAAAAGAATCAATAATTGATGTCCTCTGTTGTAAATAATCTAGTCTAGAAAGTTATTTAAGTCTTGAGCGCTATTACGCGAAAAAAAATTGTTTTTAAAATTCATCATTTTGTTTACTAGGTTTAATGTAATTATGGAATTGTTTTCCTTAGCCAAATCTTAGGATATGATACCAAATTCAAAATCGCTGTAGTTGAATTGAATTTCCCTATAACTTATGCTTGGAGTGTTTCTAAGATATTTTAAGACTGTCCTGGTTTATTCCTATTTTAGTTAACACTTTTTTTTTATGTAAAACTTACCATTTTTTCTACAGGGGCTAAAGGCCTAAGTTTAATTTAGCTTAAAACTTACTTACGTAAATTTAATTTTTTCGATTGCAAATATTTACAATTAATAAAAATTTATAGAAATTATTGCAAAATAAAATGTTATAATGCATTTACACGGATGCACCAAATATGTGTCACGTTTCATAGTCCCACGGATTAAATCCCTGTTGAAATTTAACCTAAAAATTGTTGTGCTAATGAAATACTTATTAAGAATTAACCGTACAGAGATAAACTGTTTATATTAGGTAATACTCACACTTGTCGTTTTACGTTCATTTTAATTATATTTGCTTTTTTAATTCCATTGGAGATTCGTATTCTAAAACTAAACAATGCTCATTTTTAAAGTTGTTTCACAGTTTTTTTTTTCATTTATTAATGAATATTCACAAACTATGCTGCAAGGCATAATAAGCAAATAGTTACATTGTTATAAAAAAAATAAAATAAAAACAGTGATGTATGAGGAAGGAGGCTATCCAGTGATAGAACCCAACATGATTTTTTTTTCTAATTATTTTTAATTAGACTAATTTGTTAATTATTGAGTTGGCAGATCTCGATCCCAATTTCTTCGGAGTCGGCGAGGTGGATTTCCGAGGAATGAATTAGAAGCAAGTTGAGATATTAAAGGGTTAGAATGAGTGTGTAATTTGGAATGAAATCTAATTTGGTTTGGAATATGGTTTTAAGTTCGATAGGGAGCTGAGAAGATTTGGTTTAATAATGATGGTTTTTTTGGATCTGTAACTTTTTTTAATTGGTCAGATTTCTCGAGTAGCTTTTCTATGATCTGTATTCATATGCAACCTGAACTCTGGTGTGTCAAAAAGATTCTGATCTATAGACTTGCTAATTGTACATAATTAAATAGGTTTAGAGTAGACCTCTAAACCTAAACCTAACCTAACCTAAAAGATATAGTTGAGCCAGATACAAAAAAAAAGAACACCTTACAAAATACATTATCTTCTTTGAAACTACATCCATTGGAAAAAGACATATTTTCCAAAGGTGGACAACAAAATGATAACAAGAAAATAAATAGCAATTTAAAATAAAATCATTTAATAAAAAAATTTTCGAAACGGCCATACAAAGTTTAGGCTAAACAAATACAGCTTTATTACTTTATAATTCCAGTAGACCTGTGCCCTCTCCATTCCCACTATGCCCTGAACCCACTGTACTAGCTTTTTTTTTTTTACTTTTTAAATAAGAATAATATACACACAAAGTAACAGGTACTTAATTTACTTGAAGCAAAATTGTCTATGTGTAGACAATGTAAGTAGTAGAGTGAAATTAGTATAGTTTAATGACCATCGTTTAATGCACGGTATACACTACAATTAAATCTGTAATGATTTCATTTGAATTATTTTATAGCTTAACACTTGTTTATTTATTCTAGAGGAATTTCAGGGAGTTATTCGATGGGTAATTGTAATTGTTTAAAAAAATATATATTAATAATATAAAAAGGCTAAGCAGAAAAAAGTGTTTATAAGTATGATAAAATCTTGATGAAAACCTACTTTTTAATTTTTATTGTTACTCAATTTAAATGTATTAAATACCGTAGATATATTGTTAACAAATCAAGATAAAAAAATAAAACTTTTAAAAAAATCAGCAAAACCTTTTTTAATGCAAAGGTTAAATGGGACACGACTTATCATGGACTACCTATGTACACAGTCAAACATTATTGAAACTTAATTAATAAAATAGCGTAACAATGTGTAAATTATATAGGTGCACGTGTACAACATATCTAAATGATAATAACTTTAGGTCGTTATCGTTTTTGTTTTACACGTTTTCTTGTTCTCGAGGAATCATTGCGGGTGCTAATGAAATAATTAATTAATAAACAGTAGGTAACATAACATAATATTGATATGAATAAGAACGTTATATTAGAAAAATCATGCAAATACCTATTAATAGCATTATATAGTAACAATAACGCTCAGGAAAACTGAGCAAATTCGTTAAACCTAATAGAAAAAAATCATCGATTCTGAATTATATTCTGCAATTTTGCAGCAGCTGTTGGTCATGTTTGAGGTGGCGTTTCTAGTTTTGTCTGTCGCACAAGCGTTGTTCAAGGGATTTGTGCATGTATTCCTCCAATGAGTGTTTGACGAAGCGTGCCAAGTCTCGTTCGACTCTGGATTGCAGGGAAATCGGTAAGTCTTTGTTCAACGTGTACTCAACGTTGTCGAGCTCGGCGTTGGCGTAGATCGTACCGCAAAGTCGGTTGTCGGTGTTGGTGAGCACGATCTCGACGTTGGCGTTGTTGATGTTGAACTGGACGGACCTGGCCGTAGTGGCGCGTTGTCCGTTTTCGGAGATGGTCAAGTCTCCGGTCCACTTGAGATGGTCGAGCACCACGGTGTACTTGGTTTTGTACGTGCCGGCGTTGGTGCGGACGTACGCCATCGACCCGATTCGCTGGGCGGTCTGGTCCACGAACTTGGTGCCGATGTCGGTCAGCTCGATGGTCAGATCTCTTTCGGTCCACCTCATGTCGTACAGTTTGGCCTTCTGTCCGGCGTTGACCGAACGCAGCGGGGCGGTGATCTCGGCCTTGAGCTGGGACAATAATCCCTTGTGGGTGGAGTTGTACACTTCGGCGGACACGGCTTGGTTGAGCTGCCGGATGAACGCCTTCTTGATGGCGCCGTCCAGCAACGTGGTCTCGGTGTTTTGCTCGGTCAACACGGTGGACTCGGCGTTCTCGTAGGCGGCCGGCACGATGATGGCTTTACCGGCGCCGAAGCTGGCGGTCACGTTGCTACGGACATTGTCCATCGCGATGGTGAACTCGCCGGCGTTGGTTTGGGGCAAGTCTGACTTGTACGCGCCTTTGGTCCTCAACTGGTCAAAACTGTATTCCACGTACACCAAGTCGGCTTCGGGCTTGATGTACATGTACTCCAAGTCGCCGGTCCTGAGGTTTGTCATCTGGGCATTGTAGAACTGCACGACGTTCTTCTTGGAGGACTTGACGGCCACGTTGGCGACGGCCAATGGGTCTTGCAGGTCGACGGCGCCAACGTTGTTGTTCTCTTGTCGGCGTTGCTCGTGCACGATTTTGTCCAAAGCGAACACCTTGTCGGCCAACGCGTTACCGAGTACGGCGTTGCGGTCGTCGATGGTCACTCGGTTGTTGCGCTTGTACGTTTCTCGCTCATTGTCGTACTCGCTCTGTTCGTTGCTGTTCAACAAATTGCTGTATCTGTAATAGTTGTTGGAGTTGACCGATTTGTCGTTGAGGTTGTTCAAGCTGGGGCGGTAATAGTCCTGGTTGGAGGGAACTACATTGTACTCTTGGCTGTCGGAGTCTTCGTTGGAATTTTCGTTGGTGAAGAAGTTCCAAGTTCCTGACAAAAAAAAAACCGCAACAATTAATGAGTATTTCAATTAAGTATTTTCTTAATAAAAAAAAGTTTGAATACAAGTTTCTGAAAAAAACTGTATAAGTTATAGTTCTATTGTAAACCTACTTCGGTATTTATTTTCAGATCTAAATCTCTAAAACTTGGCATGAAAAAATGAAACAAAGAAAAAATGTCTATCGCTCCTAGGGAAAAGGATTATTATATTTTTTTGGTTTATCAATGTTTATGGGTAGTACTACGTTTAAAGAATATTTCATACAAATTTACTACAACTAATTTGACTTTTTTTAAAAAAGATTTATATCATCGGAATTTTAAGTTGAAAAATATATAAATAATTATAATAATATGTGAATTTTTTTAATTTTTGGCCCAAATTGGTTCAACGGTTTAAAAGCTATCGTAGGTCCAGACACAAACAATACAAAACTAAAAATGTATCATTGTAAAAAAATACCTTCTCAGCTCCGTGTCAAAGCTAAAAAATGTTGCAAATCGAATTGGCTCAAATCAAAAACAAATTATTTATATTTTAATGTACAGTGTTATTGTGAATTGATTTTAATGAGTTCAATTTAATTTAAAATCTCTATCATTATGAAACCGTTAATTTCGAGGGGGTTACTGCTACCGCTAATTTTTTCAAATTAATAATTAATAAATATTACATTTTAATTAAATTATTTTAACCACCTGATCTAAAGTGCCTAAAAAGTCATTTAATATTTATTTTTAAACTTAAATGGTAACTTATATATTTTTTAATTAAAAACAGTTTTCTGAAAATATAGACTGGTCAATAACCAGTTTTACATAAGAACTTTAATAACTTTAAAAGTTATTTAATAGTAGACATTTTCAGCAAATTATTCTTAATTAAAAAAAACATTTTTAATCAAAAATTATAGTTGATTAATATATATTAATATAGAAGTTCACATTAAGTTTCAATAGTTGTAAAGCTCTAGAGAATACTGAAAAATAATTAGTAATTTTTTAATATTGTAAAAAAAAATTTTAAACAAGAATGTTGAAATATTGAGTGTCTTATCCTTAATGAATCACCCTGTACATTCCTACTGTGCTAATTCGAAAAGAAAATTAAATTAAACCTATTAAATAGACAATAAACACAATGTGGTTATAGCCTTGTTATTATTATTATCGGTTTGTTGCACTTTGTCCGAGATAAAAAAATAATTACAAATCATTTGTATCACTGTTCTACCGTCGGTGCAACATTCAAACCCAAATAGTCATAAAACACCGATAATTGTAAAACCAATTCTTTTTTAACTAAGAATGATAGCCAAGATCTGTTTTTTTTCCAAAACGAATAAGTTGAACAGCATAGTTGTACTCTACAATAATTATTGTGGTAATTTTTTTCTTATATCATAGTTCACCGATTCGTCTAATATAAAATGTATACTTTGGTAATATAAATTATTCTTTTAAGTTGCAATAAATTAACAACATGTAAATGCACCGCGTACGGCTGTTGTTGTTGTTTAAAAGAAGCTTTCGACATAAAATTATTCAAATGACAAAAAAAAAAACATAGATTTCATGTAAAATAATAACTTGTACTCACCTGCGTATTTGGAGGCAGCGGTGGCTTCGAGGACCGCAAAGGCCAAGAGCACCGAGGCGATGGTCAATGTAATCTTCATGGTGACTGTTGAAAAATCCACACTGAACTGATGCTAAACGGATACTCGCGTTTGGATTTTATACTTGTGACAAAAAATGATGATTCAAAGCCGACACGGTGCGCATTTGTTTTGTACACAATCATGTTCAGTGAAATTTCTTGTTTTTTTCGGATCGATCAGCACAAATTTATCGTTTTGCCGACCTCAAAGCACGCGCTTTTCATTTTATTGTTTTATCTAATAACGCCGATTGCCAATAAACAGACACATGAAAACATACATTTTTATAAAAACAAACAGCTTTGCACTGTAATTTTTAGAGTTCTTAGTACCTGTTCAGGAGAGAATAAAGATTGATTGAAATTGCGAACACGCGCTATTAACCGGCCTTTGTTCTCATATACAATGATGGAACATATTGATATTTTTGCAATAATTTTAAGAATTCGTTTAAATATAATAAATGTCTAATGTATTAATGCAATAGGTCAGGTCCAATTGATTAACTGTTCACACAATTAATATACATTTGTATCATTAAGGCATCTTTTTATGAGGCTTACGGGGGACTTGGCCCCTTTGGTATTTTTTTGTAAAATGTTAATTTCTATAAAGTTTACTTAGTATAAAATACAGATTTTTTTTATGCGTTTTACACTATAAGCTAATACATAAAGCTATACATAATTTTATTCTTAGTTATTGTGATTATTACATGGTACTATTAGTTCATTATGTTTATAAATAAATAAATACCTACTATATTAAAAAGCCAACAATTAATACAAATTTCATTTAAATCATATTATAAAATATAGCCCTAAAAATGTACGGTCAATTCAGGGAGGGAAAGATGGGATGTCTCTTTTGACGCCTTAAATGGGTGCTGGATATTATTGTATGGTGATTTATATTTGTATATATAAAACACTAAACAAATTCGATTTTCTACATAGCAACATAGCATTATTCTATAAATGTCACTAAAATATTAATTTATCGATGCAAATTATTATTTATAAATGTAAGTCTTGTACATAATTATATATAATATACTTTAATTTTTCATTGAATTACTGCCCAAACAAGCAATATCAATTTAACTGGAGCAAAAAAAAAACATTATTACATAAATATTATTAAAATAATAAATAATAATTTAATAATTCGTTTTTTAAACTCTAGGATTATTCACCTGTGGGTACTTGTGTTTAATAAATAAATTATCTCTCATAGGTACATGAAAAAGTTTATAATGAGGTTGTATCGAAAGAATACTCTAAATAAATTGTTCATTTTTTCACCGATTTTTGACAAATTTTGACATGGCAGTTTTTAAAGTTAAATCATATAATTTTACAACAAATAACTTCTCAGGTCCATATCGAAGCGAAAATAGGCAATTTCATAAAACCACTAGCAAAATAAATTATTATAAATAAAGAGTATATAATATTTTTATTGCAATACCTACTTTTATGAATTTTAAACAAAATTATGTTTTATATATATATATTTATATTCTTTTATGCAGGTGCGTACACAATAAGTGTATCACGCGCTATTGTTATTCTTTTTTTAATTGCGATAACCTTGTTTAAATACAGTCATTACATAAGTTATGCTAATAATTAATTAATTTCATTCATATCCAAAATTCTACCGTTCGCATAAGTATTATTATTATTATAAATATTAAACCTGCTTTTTCTATCAAACCTCCACGGGTCTCATAACAATAAAAAAAATTCATTGTATTAAATTCACAGTATTCTCAATGTACTCTCATTGTTAATAGCATGGTGATCGCAACAGGTCGACTTAAGTACATACCGTGAACGCACATTATATCTAATACAAACCGCAGTTGTACCTACGTTAGAATATTTAAAAATGTTTTCCTCGTTCACTGATGAAAAAACCGGTAAATTATTGTTATTCACATGTACATTTACACATATATATATATATTCATAATATAGTCAATCACCCTGTAGGTATAATGTTTATCATACATTATACAGGGCGATCGACTAAGGATAAGATGGTACTCATTTTTTAAGATAAAATCCGTGTTTCTTATACTTAATTTTTCGGGGTTTTAGGCATAGCCACGGTGACCCTCGACAAACTTCCGGTAAACACTCTGAACTTGGAGCTTTTAGAAAGCTTACGAGATGAATTAAAAAAACTCCAAAACGAAAACGTCCGAGGAATGATATTGACTTCGGTATGTAATAAAATTATAAGTTTTCGGTTGGGTGTGTTATTTATTTTTATAATAATAATTCCAAATGGCTAATTACAGGAAAATGGGCGCCGAGTACTTAAAAAGCTTTGAAACGCAATAGGCGTTTGCCCTTTCAAAGTAACGATCGCAGTCAATAGCCTGATAAATATATAATGCTTAGTGGAATTTGGTTATAATCGCACTGTAGAGAGGCATAGGTCAATTTTTTTTTTGCGATTATTATCCATTTATAAATAAAAATAAAACAATACAATTTTTTTCAATTATTGAATAAAATAAATCATTTAAAATATAGCATTATGACATTTATAACAAATCTGAGCGCGCCAGTCGATTACCCAAGCAAATTGAAATAAAATAGTGTGTCATCTTAAAAGTGTCATAACACAAAATCGTACATTTTTAAAAAACAAAACTTATTATTACCTTTTACAATTAACCGATTTAAGTGTCGACTTAAGCAGACATATAAAGTAATATTTTGCCTGGATATATATATATAATAATGATGATGATGATTATATATATATAATGATGTCATTGTAAACATTTAAAACAAAATCTATAAATTTCGAAAATGTTAAAAAGGGTTATTAAAATTATAAACATGGTAATGTAGGTAATATGTACTCATTATTAATTTTTTTAGATTTTTACCAGCGTGGTCTAATCTTATGTGGAACTGACAAAATAACTATTTTATGATATTTGCATGTTTGATCTTTTTGTCGGTCGACTTAGTTTAATTATTATTTTTTAGGGTTTGAAAAATGTATTTTCTGCTGGATTGGATTTAAAAGAGTTCCACGAACCCGATCCTACCAGGTTAGCACAATTCTGGTCAACTTTACAAGAAACGTGGATAGAACTTTATTTAACACCTTTTCCAACGGTGGCCGTGATAAACGTAATTATGTTTATTAAAATTTAAAACAAAGTTTAAAAAACACATAAAATCGTAGTTTTTGTCTAACCGTTGTTTATTATATATATTCTTAGTTTAATTGATTCATTTTCCTAAAAAAAATACCACATTTTATAAATATTAATAGCTTACTGTGATAGAAATTCTGAATAAACTCCCGTTAAAACATTTTAGATTTTTATTTTAGTAGGTAAAAGTAAATTATGCTAAAAAATGTATCTAATTAATAAAAATTAAATACTATTCAATTTTTTTTAAATCGCTAAAATATTATACTATACTTCTCAGACAATAACAATGCTTATTGTCTCAGAATGAATTACATTGTTGCAACGTTTTATAATTATTAATATTATTATATTTATTCGTCTACCCTCAAGGTTAAGGTGGATCAGTAGACAAATAATAATAAAAATACATTTATTGCAACAACATAAAATAGAGGTACACATTTTAAATAATTAGATTACAATATGGCAGCCCCTCCTTCAAAAAAATGCTAAGCTTGTGCTGGGGATGCGAGTTTCTATCAATTTAATTAATACAAATGTGTGGTTTATAGTTTTTATTTTAATCTCCATTTATTATATTTTAGGTAATATTATTATATTAATATTATATTATTAATATTTTGATATTATTTATTATATTTTATGCAGTTAATACCCTTGTAGTGGTTATATGCTTTCAAACAATTCACCAACCTTTTCAACATCAACCTTTTATTAAGGGTGGCGGTTTTTCTTAAAATGTAATACAAGTTTTCATTTTACCTATCAAAATGTATATACATATATGTAATTTTTCACTAAATCACTACATAAGCCACCAAATCCAAAATATCTGGTAAGCTTTTTAACAACAAACTATTCGAGTGGAGAGGGGTAAGGGGTGTTTTTCTTAAATTAATGAAAATTAAAATATTACCCGTCAGTTAACTTTTTTTTTTTATTGCCGAATCCAAATCTGTCCACTTTTTAATGTCAACCAATTATTAGTGGGAGAGGGAGGTAGTAGTAATGGGGGGGGTTATTTTTTTGAAAATTGAAATATTGATTGATTATTATGTTTTGAGATTAAATAATAATGCAAAAAGGGACCCACAGCTCAAATACAAAACGGAGCCCATTTGTTGCTAGTTAAGGCACTGGTTATGTTAATCGAATGTACCTTGATGTCTTGTAATAAGTCGATTTTGGTGTCTTCGCAGTTTTGTAAGAAAAAATAGAAACTTTATAGTCTAGCCTCCCAATGAGCAAACAGCTTTTAAAAAAAAATAGTAATATTATATACAAATAAAAAAAAAAATTTTAATTATTTTAGAAATATTAAGTAAATACGTACAATGTTTTGTAAAAATAAAATCAAATTTTTTTTTAATATTAGACAAAAACCTTCGTTGAGATAAAGTCATATTATGCTGTCGATAAAATAACATTTCTAGGGTCACTGTCCAGCAGGAGGTTGCCTGTTGGCTATGAGCTGCGACTACAGGGTGATGGTCGAACCCAAATACACGATTGGACTTAACGAAACCCAACTGGGAATCGTAGCTCCAAAATGGTAATAATGCATATTTTACAAACTCACGAATCGTTGGAAATGCAAGCAATATTTTCAAGTACAGGGTAACTGATTAACTATGGACTATGATCCAGTCAATATATCTTAAAAGACAGTAGGCTTTCTTTAATTAATCTTTTCCATACTTTTACAGTTATTCAGATTTACTAACAATATAACCCCATCCCTTATGTGTGTTAAAACCTTATGTACTTCAGCTTATTAAATGAAAAAAATATATCAAATTTGTGCTAGCTTTATTAACTATAAAAGTATATAAAAAAAAAAAGGATAATAATTTTAAAGTCTACTATTTTTTAAGACATTGACTGGATTACAGTTAACCAATCACCCTGTACATTTGCACACTTACTTTTATCATAGTACACAAATTGAGAGACAATAGGAATGTAGGTATGTAAAGAGCACAAGAAACTCGAATACTGACCCATGTCCAATCCGATAAGCTCGAGACGTATACAAGGGGGGGGAGGGAGGAGGGCTATGAGAAATGAATGCCATGCCTTATGTACCATTTAAATCGTGAGTATTATGACGTTGTACAGCTGAAGGCTTTTCTATTTGTCTTAAGGCTTATGGATACCATGATTGCGGTGATCGGCCAAAGGAAGGCAGAGGTATCGTTGACTACGGGTAAGATGTATACCGCCAGAGAAGCGTTAGAAATTGGTCTGATCGACGAAAGTGCGCCAGACCGCGATAGCGCCCTCGTGAAGGGTTTGGAGTTTTTGAATAGATTTAAAAATATATCACGTGAGGGACAGTTCAATATTGACTGTGATAATATTGTTTCGTTAGGTATTGATTTTTTCCTTTTTTTAGAATGGGCGTATCAAAAGACCAAAGAAACGATTCGTCGACCGACCGTTCAGTGGTTAATCGACAACAAACAAAAAGATGCTGAAATTATATTGGACTGTATGCAATCGCCACGCGTTCAAAAAACTATCGGCTTTTATTTACAATCATTGAAAAAATAAAACGCTACTCGAATTGATCGAATGTGGACGGTTTAACTTAAATGCGAACAATTGTTTAGGGTGCAGATTTTTCAGATATATTAAAATATGAACATAAAATTCATTTTGGATCGGGAACTTAACTGTTTTGTTTATTAATTGTTTATGTTTATGATAATATGATTATCTACCTAGCCTAATTATTACAAAGTAGTATGTATAAACTACACTTTTTTGGTTTTTCCTTAATAAAAAAAATGTGACTACAGATTTTTGAGAAATTTTATGTATTATAGCCTAATTCTAGATCTACCTTTGGTCTAATTATCATACCTAACCCCCTAAAACATTGAATGAAAAAGCGAAAGAAAGAAAAAAATTCCACCCCTTCTAGGAGAAAGGGTGTACGATAATTGTTTAGCTTGTCAACGTTTGTCGGTAGTACTATGTCTTAAGAATATTCTATACAAATATGGAACTAATTGGACTATTTTGAAAAAGATATGGAGCGCCGTAATTTTAAATAATTGAAAAAATGTAAATTTTTCGGATGTTTTTCTCAATTTTGAAGGGGAACGGATGAACTTTTAAAAAATTTGGGCTTTAGAGTACCTTACAGGTATGATTTCTGATCTTAAGGGCTGTTACACGAAGAAATCGGTTCAGTGGCTTAAAAGATATCGTGGGTACAGACACAAAAATATAAAATAAAATAAAAACATCATTGTAAATACAATACCTTATCAGCTATCGAAGCTAAAAGATGCTTCACGATAGTGTCGGATTTTTATAAAGGAAATCTAATCAACATAATATATTAAAATGATCTAAACAAATTATAATTATTAATTTGTGAATTAATCACTGAGATACGTGTTATTATAATCTTATATATAAAGAACGAGTGGCCAACTTTCGTTAAGTTAGATCAAATTTGGATAACAACTGCACCAACAAAATACATTTAAACTTTCAATTAATAATTTAATGAGTGGAATTAATAAGTAAAGTATTGTGTAATATATGTTTACTTTTTGTGTCTCTTTTGAGAGCTCAACTAAAAAAAATATGTAGGAATTCTACATATTTTAATGTTGTTTCTTTTATAAATTGTTTCATTTTTTTAATTTAAATAAAATACACACGACTCTACATGAACTACATTCAAAGTAAAAATCGTTCTGTTATGCAAGTAAATGAAAATATATTTACATATTATATAATATATACTATGTAAATTAATTAAATATTATAAAAAAATTAATATTCGCGTTATAAGCAACTTATGCATCTCAGTGACATTATTCGTCTATGGTAAACTACCAATTACAAAGATCCACTGTTTAATGATCAACTAAAAAAAAATTCAAAGCAAAATATACAACATAGTTGTATAAAATAAAACTGTTAATATATGTAGACATTTAATATCAAAAATACATCCAACACTGTTGTATTCTAATTTTATTTTATAAGCACAAGTATAAAAACTCGTTGTGACATGATTATTAGTAGATACTAGGAATTATCTACTTTGTTTGTGCACAAATACAAATCAATTGTAAGATCAGTCAATAACAAAAGACCTGGTTATAAAAATTAAGGTTAAAAAAAATATCACTTTATTTTTAATTTAAATTTGAGATTACATTGTATGTAAGTAATAAGTAAAATAAAACCATTTGTATAATAATCATGCAATTAAAAAAAAAAAGAATTGCCGTAAAACTAATCGTGTTCACATAAGAACGTATGTCGGTGAAGTGAGAACACCGCAATTGTTGTTCTTGCGCGATATCAGAACATATCCATCGTTACCCCAGAAGTTAGACCAAGAGTTTTTGACCAGCCAGTAAGGACTGCCGTTCAAGTCACCGTAGCCGACGAGCAACACAGCGTGGTTGAGTTCTTTGGGTTTGTTCACTGAAAATACATTAAAATTATTGTTTAAATCGTTCCACTTGATTTATCGTATTTTATACTCACGGCATTTTGGATCGTAGAACACGCCGTTCGAATAGAAGCTGAACGTTTTTAACGAAGCGTAAATCGCTATCGAGATTGGACCGTGATTGACCAGAGCACTCTTCAACGCTTCTTCGTCGTACTGTGTAACGTTAACAAAACCGGATATCTTTGTCAGGCCGTCAGTCGTCATGTTGGACTCGTGACAAAGACCGTCCTACGAGCAAAATACATATTATGTGCAACTTAATCGATATATGGTTACACGCCATTAAACATGTACTACTGTTTTTACCTGCGACAAATACGGTCCGTAAGCTTCTTCTGTGGGGATACCGTGCTTCTCGATCCACTGGTACGCACGGAAGTCTTCTCCGCCATCACAGCCGTTGTTGCCGAATCCCCAACTGCAGTCCACCAAAGACTGCAACGACAAAATTTAAATAAATAAACATACATACAATTTTACAAAAAACAAAAAAATCTCCCATTTTACACATAGTATAAAAAATAGTTTAAAAAAAACTAGGGCCATACATTATTAAAAATAGTTATAATTTCCCAATCTGGTCTTTAGTAGACAAATAAAAAAAATAAAAGTGTTTAGAGTACCATGAAATTATATAGAAAACAATTTAGAGAATAGGCGCATAAATTGCTAACAAAGTTGTACCTATCCACATAACACGTAATCACTAATAAAGACAGAAAAAATGTTTATAACTACAGATACGCAATGAAGCGTTTGTTTGAAAGTTATCTTTTTAGGTTAAAATAATTCTTATAGTCCTGCGACCCCACTGTACTGGCTTTTATTATTTTTACATGACATTTTAAACATTGTTTATTAAACTTTTACACGCCGTTACCTTGGCAATGTTATTTTTACAGCCGGTTACTACTGGCTGTAAAATAGTTAAAACTAAATGTTTCTTGTAACTGCGTTTTAAACTGTTTGTTAAGTAAGTTGAACATTTAAAAAAATCATTTTTTTCAAAATTACCCAATAAGAAAGGAAGCGATTTTTATACGATGAACAAGACGTGTCCGACAGTAAGTGCTAGACACCACATTGTTGAACACTCTCTCGCAACCGTGTCGGTCATACGGTACTGACCATAGGACATACCATGTATCACCCATGATTGAAATATACAAGGTTATTGCACATACACCCCTTCTTCATCAAATATTCAATAATAAAAACGGATATGTCAGCGTAAAGGATAGCCAATTAAAAATTTATAGTAATTGTAAAGTGTATAGTAAAATTTATATCCCCTTACGCTGTCATTTTATGTACAATGACCCGAGTATTTCAACCATGGTCTCACCAGAGAACGGTACTGAGCAGGAACTAAAACGAATCACTCTCGTATGCGCCTGCGCAAAAGTAAACGGGAGTAACGCGTTTTGGTTTCTGCGCACTGCGGTGCGTTCTCTCGTCAGACAGAGTGTAGTGTCAGTGGCTGGGCGCGGCAGTTGAGCAAATATGTCATTAACGTTATTGTAGCAATGCCCGGCGGAAGAGCCTGGTCGGGATGCGTTGAAAAACAATTTGGACCGTATGCGAGCCCGGATTTGCGAGCTGGAGAAAAAAGTCGTCTCTTACGACACGGTGCTGGCGGAAAAGGAAGAGCTTCGCGAGCAAATGGCCGACGTGGGAAAATGGGTGGACCAAGTGACGAACAAGCACAAGGAAATGTTCGCTCAGCTGTCGGCCAACTACGATTCGCTGTACGCCAAACACCAGGAGACCAAGGCGGCCGTGTCCAAGCTGCGGTGCGAAAAGGACAAGCTCAACGACGACAACGAGCGGTTGACGGAACAGCTGCGGTCGTTAAAACGCAACGAACAACATTTGACGGCCGAAATCGAAAAGCTGGAAAATGATCAAAAACGCGCCAAACATCAACTGTGCGAGACCAAAGTAAGTGCTACTACCAAAAACAAAACTGTTTGTGTCACCGGTCCGCCGGTAGAGTTTCCCATATCATATTATATGGTTCAATTAGGTACAGTGAAAACAATTTTTTTTTTTTGTAAATTTGCATATAAATTTCATAAAAAATAATATAGTTATTGACTAAATAAAAAACAAAGATTTTTGGTGGGGGAAAAAATAGTGTGCGTTATTTATATTTATCTCCCATGAGGTGAAAAATAAAATAATTAAAAAATAAGTCTTTTTAATTATTGAATTCTTATTCAATAATTGCCATTTTCAGACCGAAGTCAACGACCTAAACAACGAAATCGCCAAAATGCAGTGCAGTTTAAACGGCAAAGAAGAGTCGCTTTGCGCTCTCCGCAAGCAGCTGGACGACACCCGCCGGGAACACGACCGGTCGAGGGACGCGGTGCGGCGGTTGGAGTGCGACTTGAAACGCATCAACGAGGAAATGGCTAGCGTCAAGGCGTGCTCGGCGAGGACGGAACAAAAGCTGACGCTGGAGCGGAACACGCTGTCCAGCGAGCTGGAATGCAAACGGCAGAAACTGTGCGAGCTGCAGGCCGCCGTGGACGAACAGAAGTGTACGCTGCGCGACCAGAAATCCGCCATATGCAAGTCCGAGGCCATGGTGGCGGATCTGACGGCGGCCAACGAACGAGACCGCCGGGACACGGTGGCCCGGATCCGGAAACTGACGGAGGAAAACTGCGGGATCCGCGAGGAGGTCGGCCGGAAAAACCGGGAACTCGAAGACTTGCGTCGGAAAAACGACTGTCAAGCGTCCCAGATGGACGACCAGAAGAGACAGATGAACACGCTCAACTGCGCGGTCGACGAGATGCGAGGCGCCGTGGAGAAAATCAAGCGGGGCGTGCACAACAAGGGGCGGAAGCCGGAATGCAACAAACAGGAGTCTCGACCCAAGTGTGCGAAAGTCGCCGAACAACCGTCCAGCGTGTGTTGCGCGCCAAAGGTGTCTGTCGACAGCTGCTCTTGTCCGTCCGAACCTTGCGACGACGTCCACGCTCTCATAGAGAAATACTCGTCGAGCAAGAGGGACTTCGGATGCGACGACGGTTGCGGTGGCGGGTCAAACGATAGGGAAAAACTAGTGTGCGAAATCCAAGGGTTGAACGAGCAACTGTCCGCGCTGAAGAACGCCGTAATGTGTGGACGAAAATGAACTCATAGCGCAATAGACTGTACGTATTGTAGGACCCAGGGTTGCCCCACTTGATATAAATTAGTAAGAAATGACAATTTAAAAAAAAAATAAAAATTACGGTTTTATAAGCAAAAATTACAACGGAAATGCATATGTTTTTTTTTGCAAATGTCTGTTAAAAACGATTCCCAGCCAAAATGTACTTAATTTGTAAGCCAACAGTTTGTTAAAACAAATGTCGATAATAATTATTAATAGTATGACATTCTGACAGGTTACTAATTTAAAAAAAAAACCAATTAAAAACTTTTTAGCTTAGATGCGGAAATGAGAAGTCATTATTTTTACAATAATATATTTTTATTTTTTATTTATTTTATCTTCTAAACAGCTGAACCGATTTCTTCGTGTAGCAACTCTGTAGACCAAAATTTAAAATGTACATAGTTTTCGACTTAAAATTACGGCACTCTATAAATGTTTTAAAAATAGTGGAACTAGATTCAATTCTGTATGGAACACAGCTTAGACATACTACTACCGATAAACGTGGTAAAACCATAAAAAAATATCATAAGTCCTTTACCCTAGAAGGAGTAGAAACTTTTTCTTTATTACGCTTCTTTAGGTAAAATTTTAGGGCTAAAGGTCTGAAAATTAAACCGAATGGGACTAAAATTAGTACGTACCTATACAAGTTTCTAAAAATCTGTAACAAGTCAATTTTTTTTTTTAATAAGAAAAAAAAAAGGAAATAATTATACTTTGACCGTGTATACATACTATACTATGGCAATAAATTGTTATGGACAGACGATTAACACTAACCGTATCCAGCCTAATAACAAAAATACATTTTCAAGCTCATTATGTACAATGCTTTTATAGATATTTGTATTTATACCATTACAGATTAGCAAAGCGGTTATTTAAAAGTGATTTTACCACTTTGAGTTATACTGTACTATTTTTTTTTAGGACAGCATATTTTTCATAAATTCATTAATGCCTTTTGGAACGATATAATAAATTTGTCTTGGTCCAGGAATAATGACATTTTAAAACGTTTCAAAATTGGTTAAGCTATCGGGATATAATTTCATTAATCATTTTGTAATACTTATTATAAATACAAGTAGATACATTTTGGCTTAATCGCATGTGCTGGTCACGTGTGGCGGTCTATTAGTTTGATGAAAGCGATACTAAAATGGAAACCGAAGACCACTAGGCAGATAAAAAAAAAGGTGGATAAACAAAGTCGAAAAGAATCTAGTAGAAATTGGAATTCAAGATAAAGAAACAGTAGAACAGGATAAGGATAGATGGAAGCAGTTATGTGTTGCGATAATGGGCCTTAATGGCCTTTGAAAAACCTAAGAAGAAATTTTAGCTTGAAAAAAATCTCTTTAATCACCGATTAAAAACATTAAATGTTACTTTTATTTAATTACTGATAATTTAATTAGGTTTGATGCGAATCTAGAGATAATTTTACCAAAGTGTGTTGTTCTAAAACTTTTCAAAAAGTGAGAAATATTTCTATTCATTATTGTTTAATCATTCAAACAAATACTACTCAAATACAATACAATTTTCGAATTTCAAGCAGAGTAATCGGACATTGTTCCAACATCCTGATTTATAATAATATATTTTACAAATACTTGAAATTACTATTGTTGTATTGTAAGATTAGTTGAACCGTACTTTCTTAAACTGTATTTATTTTCGACAGTTAATAATGCTTTTACCTGTTCGGAAAAGCTGGCACGATGACCGTGTTTCAAAAAGTATGCTCCTTCGACTGCACCAGTTGTCCCGAAACTCCAACATGAACCACAAACAGATTGATCTGTTAGATAGGATAATATGTTTATAAAAATTACAAGAGAATTTGTTATAAAAAAAATACAACCAACAAACCCATAAAAAGTGTTTACCTTTGACCGGGTTCACTGCGCCTTTTATTCTCCAATCGATTTCGCTTGGCAATTCTTCAATGTTATTGGAATCGTACGTGAACGGTTTTCCTCCATTATTTTCCAACATTGTTTTTTTGTAGCCGTACAACGATTTAAGTTCCAATTCAGATTTATCAGCTAAATGATTTACAGCAAGAGTGTACCCGTTGTTGGCTCGATTTTTCGAATGGATAAATCTGTACATAATACATTTGCAGTACGTTAGTAATCACAATGAATTATACAGTTATAAGGTACAATAATTTACCGTAGGTTTTGGCGGAAGTAATTTTTACGTGTGAAGTGCTCTTTTGTCGAGTTATTGTAGTTCCTCCTGTGATGCTTTTTGAAATGATCAAATGAGTTGTCGACATGGTCATCGTAATTGTTTATGAACTCCATCATTGGGTTGAAAGTGTATACGTGGTCTATACCCGGACCAGGAAAAGATTCACAGTGCATATCTAAACAATTAACGGTTAGGGTAGAATTTTTATTTTCAGAAAAAGAAAGAATATACTATAGGTTCTTTATACCTTCTACGTTGAAATTGCTCGGTTCTGGCTTGCTAGGTATAAAAATTTCATAATCTATTATGTAATGATCGTAATGCGAACCAAATAACGAATTGAATCCTTTCATCTCGTACCTCAACGGGATTATGTAATTGTCCTATTTAAGATAAAATAAAACAAAATTAATCTAAATACACTTTAAAAGTTAAATGTTTTAATTAAATCAAAATCTAGCATGGTGGGGACGGAGAGGTCAAAAGTTGTAGAAATTATTATAAATGCTTTAATAAAAAATTATATAAATGGTAAAATGTGTTTTTATAAAGATATCAATTGATTTTTTGTGCTTTCGTCAATAGAAAACTGAGATGCAATTTTTGTATTTTTTTTTTTAACATGGTACCTAACGTATGTATTTTTAATAACTTTTTCAATTGTGAAGAAGTAAGTTTTTGGAAAACTGTAAACGTTATAACTTTACTCTACCTAACTTCAGCACTCAAGTCTCAAATATATGCTCAAAATAATGAAGCAAATGAAAAGTTTACAACCCTTTGAGAAAATGGAAGACTTTTATATTTTTTTGGTTTGTCAATGTTTATTACCTTATAAAATAACTTTAGGGTATAATCCATTTGAACTATTGACAAAGTTGGCATTTTTGGAAAAGATTTTATCAAGATAAAATTATAAATAAAAAACTATTTTATACTTAACTACTTATTCAATTATTACATTTTATTTATGACAAAAATGATTTGATAGGTATTTGTTATTTTGTTTCAAAGTATTCATTATTTATTATTAGATCTAAAAATAATTTATTTACTATTTACGAATATATATTTTGTATATTTTATTATTTGTTTGAAAGTCAAATGATACTAAATAACTTTTTTTAATTTCTATTACTCTTCCAATTAATTATCTGAGTTGCTGTAGTTTGGGTAAATATAAAATTGGTTTGAAAGAAACTTAAAATCCCCCAAACATGACACCTTGTTTAACCCGTCGTTAGTCATACCGGGTAAGAATTGAACTTGTGACATTGTGACAGGAGTAAGAAATGTATTAAAGTATGACTGAAAAATTGAGTAACTGATAACAAGTTAAATTTTTTTAAATAAATTTATAAATAATTAATACAATTTTAAATAATTTAAGAATAAAAAAAAAAAACATTTAAGTAAATTTCTTATTTTTAGAATAAAAATAGTATTAATTAATGAGATTAATTGTTTATTCATAAATAAAATCAGAATGTTTTTCTTTAATATTTATGAAAATTTGTTAAAAATGATCTAAGATAAATGTTTTTTTTTATTAATAATAAATAAACAGATAATAGCAAGCTAATATTTATTTTTTTATTTAGTTTGTAATGTAATATTACATTATTTTATTATTTACCTCTCTGGACAGCCATATGGTGTACTTGCTGACTTTATCGCCGACTCTTACAACAGAAATCCATTTTTCAAATTTATCACCGTCTATACTAGCCAGCTGTACAAAAATGTAATGTTGTATTTATTTTTATTTTTTTATGCAGTTTTATTAAACGTACCTTGAAATTTTTTAAATCAGGAAGAGCTTGTTGTAGAGTTATGTGCATTTCTTTAGTTCCGTTTACTTGTAAACACTTTACAGTGTTAGTTTCTGTTTCGGTCGTCACCGGCACAACTTTAATCGATGCACCGAAATCTCCCTTACCCGATAGCTGATAGGTTTTTGCCATTCCTGTAAATTAAAATTAAATTAAATATGAGAACGATAAACGTATTGTATATTTAAGTATAGAATCAAATCGACTAGACCAAATAGTGTATACCATCATAATAATCAATTCTACTGTTGCCGGATTCGGAATCGTACCACGCCTTAAAAGGCTCCTGCACATCGGCATATGGTATGGAAATTTGAGCTTGTAAAGAATAGTATGGATTCCAAGCTGGTGGTTCAGCTCCTGAAACTAATAAAGTATATAAGTAAGAAAACTTGATTAAATTTGCAACAATAACTCCACAAAATATATATATATATATATGTTTTTATAAATTTAACAAAATTGATCAAGTAGTTTTAAAACAGTTGCATTTCAATAAATTTTAAATAATATTTGTCAAGTAACGAATTTTATGATTTTTTTTTTTTACAACTTAAAAATTATTATAGAATTTTGTATTCAATGGAACAATTAATGGGGGAAATCAAGGTATTCATTTTTTTTTTCACATTTTTAAAATTGAATACTTGGCAATTTCATTAAAATATTTTTTTGAAAAACTGTGTAATTTATTTTTAACACTTTCTTACAACCCGTTCATTTTTTTAATATTTATGTTTTTATCAAAATTTGATGACACTAGTGTATTTGCTGACAGCAGTCAGCACAATTTTCGACGGACAAGATCTAAAAAATTATTTTTACTTTACTTAACACAGTATTCATAAGGAATATGACAAGAAAATTAAAAAAATATATATTTAAAATCCAGTGTATACTGTATATACATATAATAAGTAGGTATTAAGAAATTATACTTTCTCGTTAAAGTTTTTAAAAATTCATGGTCATATTTTAAGTCAAGAATAATTTATTAAAAATGCTTTTACTGGCAATGTTAATTTTTTATTTTATCGAGTATCAAGTTAAAAGTATAGCTATAATATTTAATGAATTATTGAAAATTTTCAACTAAGTTTCACATTTATTAAATTTTATAATATATTTTTTTTGGAAAAAAAGGTAATTTATTCTTTATCTTTGCCTTACACTCCCAACTACATGTAGTCGGTCGGCCTAGTCCTACAACTCAATAGAGCTCGTACTTCTACATGTCGTTCAATCACCCCGGCTATCCTCATATCACTCTGTATTCCGTCCATCCATCTTTTCTTTAGTTTTCCTCTTCCTCTTTTTCCCTCTACATTCATCTTCATAACACCTCTTACTGCCTCAGCCTCTGCCTCATCTCTTCTCATAACATGACCAAACAATCTCAGCCTATTCTCTCTTATTTTCTCAACAATTGATGCAACTCCTAGACTACCCCTTATGTATTTATTTCTTATTCTATCTTACCTAATCACGCCACTCATTCATCTTAATATTCTCATCTCCGCTACACTCATTCTCTGATCAGTTTTTTTATCTACTGCCCAGCATTCCGACCCACATAACATTGCTGGCCTCACTACTGACCTATAAATGTTATCTTTTTATCTTATAGGCATCCTCCTGTCACACAAAACACCCAACGCTCCCTTCCACTTCATCCATCCAAAATTTATTCTATTTTTCACATCCTTTTCTAACCCACTTTTTTTTGTACTACCAATCCTAAGAACTTAAGCCTAATAACCTCACACACTTTATGTGTTACAATTTCCTAACTAATTAAAATTGTGTCCATGGCGTTTTTTTAAATATTTTAACAGAACTTGTGGGATAACAGTTGTTACTGTCGAAATGACTTGTAGTAAAAAAGACTACTGTCTAGATTTTTTAACAATAAATATAGATAAATATAAGATAATCACAATAGATAATTATAAAATTAGAAATTATTTATGTTTTTTTACAAAATGACTTTCTAACGAGTTATTCTGAAGTTCTTAGAGCTTATATTATTATTTCTTTTTAGCATACATAATTATTAAATAATATTTGTGGAATTCAATGGGCCTTAAAAAACTATCAAACGTTGCTGTTTTAAACATTGAACAATATTATAACTCAATTGTCAGAAAAGCCAGAAAATAAGGTTCTAAATTAATCTACCATTATTACTATGTTGTATTTAAGTGTTAAAAATGCAAAATTACTAGTCGAAGCACTGATATTGTTTTACATTCTTTACGTTGTATTGTATGAGGACAGTAATTACATTCGAGTGTGTAATTTCATTGAAAACGATGACGAGGACACAATTTTATAACTAGTTTGAAATAGGTAGCTGATAAATTTTGTTTTAAACGTATTAAAGCTCGGCTACACGTACGACCCATAACTAAAATGCGACAAATGTGTTGCAGTAAAACGTCGACGTCTCTCAACACGTAATATCGGTATTTGGACGAATCTTTGAAGAAAGGCTACGGTGTTTCGAACGCAACCGACGACGGTGTTTGATTGTGTGATAAAGGCGTAATATGAATCAATAATAATATCAGCATCAAACGACGGCGAGTAAAAACTTCTAACAAACGAGTTTAATAATAAAATAATATAATATTACAAAGATGACGAATATGACATTGGGTACTTACCGACCACCACAGCAAGGGCGATAATCGTTGAAAACGATATGAAAAACTGTTTCAAAAAACCCATCGTTCGAACGCGGCTTGGTGTAATGTTCAAAATGTGTTCATACGAGTGAACTGAACGTTTTCTGACTGACCGGTGTGGAATTTTTTTTCCCTACTGCGAAGACATTTATTTCTATAGGACGAATAAAAATAAAACCCTGACACAGCGAATTCATTTACCTACACGGCGAACAACGCGAATCAAAGCAAACGCCGGCTGTTTACACATTGTTAGACCTGTTAGGAGCAGCTGTAGGAGGTGGAAACCGCGGCATTGTGATATTAAATAACATTGTAATATTGTGCACATGATAACAACGTCGGTATACAGAGTGAGCAAAGTGTCCATCTGTCGGATGTGCTACGGCCGCAGTTTGATTGATGCACCGACCTTTACCTAATGTAGGTCTAGGTACCTACTACCTAACCAAGTAAAACCAAGTTTTATTTTATAGGCCAGTAGGACGCTAATAATTATTGTGCAGTAGGACATTTTAAATGTATAGTTTATTTCACTAACATGTACACTTTAAAATACATAAGTATAATAGGTATAAAAGGTATAATAAATAATAATATAGGTATTATTAAATATAAACCTACGGTAAATTTTTAGTTTTGATAAATCCAGAAAATCTTTAGTTTAATTATTAATTTGCCGTTTATCAGCAAGGCCAATTCGTTATAATCTACACATTTTTTACATGGGCTTTTGTTTTTTAAACAAACCTACCTAATATTATTATTACCTATCTATTTGTTTTATACGAAATTGGGGGAACGTTTTACTATTAAAATACTACCTTAATACTCACTTCATAACTTTTGCCATATTAGTTCAAATACAACAATATAATGATTCAATTAAACTTTAATAAATCTGAATTGATATTAGTGCTGGGAATATTCGGATATATCAAAGGTACCAATTAAAACTTGGAATTTATGTCGCAACGAATGTTGTCTTTCCTTTTGGGGTTTTGGGTAATTATTTTTTATTTTTGAAACACTTTCGGACGGTTTGTCGTAAAGGTCGCAAATACATCACACCGTAGTTATAAGAAATACATATAGTACACCGTACACAACCAATGTCGTTTTACAAAGCAGCTGCATTTGTTGTTGTTAATAAGGCATCTATGACCTTTAATCCTTAGGTATAGTATCGATAAACAGCTGTAATAAGTATACTGCACTGACGCCCGACAAGTCTACTTATCTGCCATATACTATTATTATATTATATATAGTTAGGTAGGTATATATTATTACCAATTATTATATTATTATTGTGTACATTGTGGTCCGGACCAGTTCTAGTAAAACGCATACAGCGCGTTTTCAATGTTTATTCCTCCTCTCAAAACGGTTGAATATTAACAGTTAATATTGTAAAAAATTTACAATTGTACCTACTTAAAAAAAAACAACTTAAGTTTTTGCTTATAACTTAAAAAATAAGTCAGGCCGCCAAAATCTGACTTTTCTATCGTTTTCAGCATAAAAGATATATAGAGATATTCTCCAAAAAAAACATGTTTCAAAAAGGTGACTGAGAAGTGGGATCTAGACTGCATTTATGTAATTTGAAGTAGGCAATGTTAACTCATTTTTGTTTAAAAATGTGGACCCTTTTTTAGCATTAACCGATTATAATATTATAATTATTCGTTTAGCACCTCTGGCGAATCTGTGTGTAAAATAATATACCTATTACCTATGTGCAGTCAGATTAAACTTGTGTAGCGGGCACGTGGGTCTTGTGTTGCTGACATTGCTTAATTAGATATTAGTTACTAATAGTACTGTACTAGACTAATACGTAAATATATTATTATTATACATATTATTATTGTAATTCTATAATATTCTTTATGTACTCACAGTAATGTGTATTGATTCATTTATTCATGTACACATTAATAAATCATATTATATTATTGTTAATTATATTAGTTACTGTACTTGTACAAAAGCTTGTAAATTGATTAAAAAAAACATGGGGGATTATTTAAGTAGAATAATAATAATCATATTGTAATATATTTTGTAATTATCTACAAAATATACCTAAATTGAAATTAATGACACAACATTTTGACTGGTCGATATCCAGTTTTGAACAACTATTTTTAAAATTATAAGAGTTTAAAAGTTAGGATGATAGGGCAAGTGCGGTTGGAAAGTGCGCAAAGATAAAAATAGTACTACACTCCACCTTTCCTAATTCCTCTTACCCGAAACTTAAAACTTCAATCGAGTTTCAATGATTTTTGATAAAAGAACATAAAAAATAGGGATGTTTAACATTATTTAAAATTGTAATTCATTTTCAGTTGTTTTCAAAGTAGGTAATTAACATTTAAAAAAAAAAAATGTGCTACAATTGATTGGTAAATTGTTTTTCTAGTAAAATTTTTTTTTACTTTTTATGATTTTTAAAAAAGGTTGTTTTTTAAAAAAGTTTTTCCAATGTAAAAATAACGTAAAGCCGGTGACTTGAACTTTTTCATTTTTTGCCAATTGAGTTTCAATGTTAAAAAATCACGTAAAATGTTTACGTTTTTTTTTTAATTTCAGTGAACACTATTTATAAAAATTATGATAGCTGACTGTATAACACATGCATACAAAAAGACAGGGTTTGATTAGAAAATACTTTTTTTCTCGCTTTCGGGGACTTTTGACCATGTGCGTACGATTCCATATCAAAAAAAAGGTGCTTACCAGTAATTATTTAGTCCACAGGTTATTTGTATTTGCGCTCAATAAAGATTACATTGGAGGAAATACGAATTTATTGTGTATTTAATAATTTGCAATTACGAAGTTATTTATTTAGTTTTTAGTATTTAGTATTTTTTGGAAGCAAAAGTACGGCGATATACGATTCTCTGAACATGTTGTCATAGACGCAGGGCCGCATTTAGGGGAGGGGGGGCACTGGCTACAACTGCCCGGGCGCCAGTATTTTGGGGGCGCCAAAATTTTCAATTGTGAATTATTAAAACTTTTAAAATTGAAACTATTTTAATAACAGTATTATATATTATAATATAATAAAAAAAAAATAATGTATTATGCTGTTTGAAATTTAAACAACTTATGTATTTATAGCAATATAGCTATCAGCGATCGAGAATTATTAATATACCTAGTAATAGTTCCTTAGTGTAGAACCACATAAAACCGATAAAATCCGCACCGATCAGTAAACAACCGCAACATGTATTATTAAGATACAAACAAACCGCCTTATCGTGCTGCGGATTTTATTGGTCGCTGAAAAAACGTTAGTGCAGCTCTACACTTAGTACTTTTCCCAATTTTTTTTGTGATTCAATAGACTGTTATTTATAATAATACGGCGTATTTTGTTATCGCGTGCGGCGTGTCTACTACAAAAGTACAATATTATTGAACAATATTAGTCAACAAAATCGAACCACAGCATTAAATTTGTGAATGATGCCAATGGGCAATGTGATTAATATTATTATTATTATTTATTAATATTATTTCTTTCAGTACTCGGCGCTGTTGATATTCATTTATTATTATATTTGTTTTGTATTATTTTAATTATAACCGGCAAAAAAAAGTTAAGTGGTTATCAAAATCGTAAACAAACTTTGTTAAAAGCCAAAAACAACTTAATGTTATTAAAAAATAGATTTAGCTATTATGAAAATTGAATCCGATATAACAGCTAACCTTGAGTTTGATGATGTTATTCAAGAATTTGCGACATTACAGAATAGAAGAAAAATGTAGGTATCTACACAAACAATCTACATTGTTTTTATTAAAATTATTTAATATATGTAATACCTATATTAAAAAAAATATATTATATTAATTTGCAAAGTTTATATAGTTTTATTAAATTTAGTTTTATTTTGTTTATATTAAATTAATATATTAAGAGGACGTCACACACCCGTTATTTTCTACAAAAAAACCCGCCTTGCGCGGATTAATTTTACAAAGGCTATAATCAAAACTAAGAAACCAAATTTTCACATAATATAGACAACAACATTGCCTGTGTTCTACCATCGCCCTTTTTTTAATATTTCAACCAGTTAATGAATAATTAATTAATTAAGAAAGGACTTTTTTAAAAATGATATAGCGTTGGTTGTATTAAGTATATCGAAAAAATACGGACGATAGGACACAAATAATTTTGTCATAAATAATATGTATGAATTTCTTTCCTTAACTATATATGAAGCCTGAGAAAAATTGATCCGCGTTAAACTCAATTCAACATAATTTTTTTTTAAATCGCTGTCAAGGATGCTGTGATAGTCCGAAAAATAATTTAACTACTAAAAAAGAGTCCTAACTACTGAACTTATAATCACACATCACAGTTTAACCTTTAAGTTAAGATTTTGTAAAAAATTGCCTATACTTTACTCCTTAAAAATGGGTGTTGTAGCGTCTTCTTAATATGATCTATGGTATACCTAAATATGTAAAAAAAACAACTTATATGGTGAAGTATAAGCAGGGCTCAAGTGGCATACCCTAAATTGTATCTTTGAGGAGAGGGAGAGAAGGGGGTTCATACAATTATTAAACAATTTCTCAACTCTGAAAAGCTATATTATTACAAGAAGGATGTAATGGGTTGTTGCCTCTTGTCTTAAACCACACCGTTAAATCATATTATAATGTAATTGAACTCTGTCAAAACACAGATAAAGCGATAATAACAATAATATTATTTTGTAATGTAAAACTACACTTGTCGAAAAACAAGAATCATAATATCTTTCAATTAATTAATCAACTATTTTGTTGAAAAATGTTTGTTAGGACATTCATTCTGTCGTGCTCAGGGGCGGATAGGCCCACCGGGATACCGGGCAAATCCCGGTAGGCCCTCCTCTCTGTAGGTTTTTTTATTTTTATTTTTTATACACTATTACAGAACAGTGTTCGCTACTCAATACGTATAAATATACACAGGGCCGAACCAATATGTAATACCTCGTCATAAATAATAATTTTATAGATATTGAAAATTAAACTAAATACTAAAAATAGCAATAATGGCACGTTAGTCCCGCATGTTTACATTTGTACATTCTAGCATCGGTGCGTGGCGGTCGACCTTATCTGATGGGAGTATTATCGGTACATTCTACCAAATACTAATGTGAAATGTCACAATAATATTATTTGATGATCCGAACCATTTTACATTTCTTCTTAT